CCACACATTTTTCAGCAATCTCCCCACACATTTTTCTGCAATCTCCCCACACATTTCCTAAAGCGTGCACTGTGATGTTATAGTAACATGTATTTGTGACGCCAGACCAAAGCGTGTATTGTGGCATGACACTAATGTATGTTGTGTGACGTAATACTAGTGTGTAGAGTGTCTACACACCCGGTGACCTTGACATTGATCAGCGTCTGCTGGTGACCGTATTAACTTCCTGGGTCTGGAGATTCACTTCCTGCTAGGTCGGTGTGTCAATACAAGTCATAAGTCATACATTCTGTCAATACAAGTCATAAGTCATACATTCTGTCAATACAAGTCATAAGTCATACATTCTCTCAATACAAGTCATAAGTCATACATTCTGTCAATACAAGTCATAAGTCATACATTCTGTCAATACTAGTCATAAGTCAAACATTCTGTCAATACAAGTCATAAGTCATACATTCTCTCAATACAAGTCATAAGTCATACATTCTGTCAATACAAGTCATAAGTCATACATTCTGTTAATACAAGTCATAAGTCATACATTCTGTCAATACAAGTCATAAGTCATAAATTCTGTCAAAAAAGTCATAAGTCATACATTCTATCAATATAAGTCATACATTCTGTTAATACAAGTCATAAGTCATACATTCTGCCAATACAAGTCATAAGTCATACATTCTGTCAATACAAGTCATAAGTCATACATTCTGCCAATACAAGTCATAAGTCATACATTCTCTCAATACAAGTCATAAGTCATACATTCTGTCAATACAAGTCATAAGTCATACATTCTGTTAATACAAGTCATAAGTCATACATTCTGTCAATACAAGTCATAAGTCATAAATTCTGTCAAAAAAGTCATAAGTCATACATTCTATCAATATAAGTCATACATTCTGTTAATACAAGTCATAAGTCATACATTCTGCCAATACAAGTCATAAGTCATACATTCTGTCAATACAAGTCATAAGTCATACATTCTGTCAATACAAGTCATAAGTCATACATTCTCTCAATACAAGTCATAAGTCATACATTCTGTCAATACAAGTCATAAGTCATACATTCTGTCAATACTAGTCATAAGTCAAACATTCTGTCAATACAAGTCATAAGTCATACATTCTCTCAATACAAGTCATAAGTCATACATTCTGTCAATACAAGTCATAAGTCATACATTCTGTTAATACAAGTCATAAGTCATACATTCTGTCAATACAAGTCATAAGTCATAAATTCTGTCAAAAAAGTCATAAGTCATACATTCTATCAATATAAGTCATACATTCTGTTAATACAAGTCATAAGTCATACATTCTGCCAATACAAGTCATAAGTCATACATTCTGTCAATACAAGTCATAAGTCATACATTCTGCCAATACAAGTCATAAGTCATACATTCTCTCAATACAAGTCATAAGTCATACATTCTGTCAATACAAGTCATAAGTCATACATTCTGTTAATACAAGTCATAAGTCATACATTCTGTCAATACAAGTCATAAGTCATAAATTCTGTCAAAAAAGTCATAAGTCATACATTCTATCAATATGTCATACATTCTGTTAATACAAGTCATAAGTCATACATTCTGCCAATACAAGTCATAAGTCATACATTCTGTCAATACAAGTCATAAGTCATACATTCTGTCAATACAAGTCATACAAAACACATTAGCAACATTTTATATATCGGACGAAACATTGTACATGTTGGTCATATTTTCACACACACACACACACACACACACACACAAATTTCAACTTTTCTCGGTCAAGATATTTGAACCAATCGTGCCAGAAAAGATAAACGGTTGCTCACTCCCAAAGTTGACCTAGTTTTCCTGTAACATCTGGGTCATCGATAATCGATAGGATACGTGGTGGTGGGGGGGGGGGGGGTGGGAGGGGTCGGGGGAGGGGGTGTAAAGAAAAAGCTCTATCACTGTCCTTCAGAAAGGTTGGGTAAGTGTGGGGTAGTATGTGGGGTGGGGTAGTGTATGGGGTGGGGGAGCCTAGTGATAGCAAATGATTTGACCTCGACACGGATTGAGCCGTTGTAAGAGACATTCCATATCTTGTAGTATCGATTTTTTTCTTTTATACTTGTTGGTTTTTACTTACATCCATTATATACTCTGTGTGTGTGTGGGGGGCGGCTGTGTGAGAGAGAGAGAGCTGTGTGTGGGGGGCTGTGTGTGTGAGAAAGAGAGCTGTGTGTGGGGGGCTGTGTGTGTGAGAGAGAGAGCTGTGTGTGTGAGCTGTGTTGGTACGTACTTGTATGTGGCTATAAATATTTTAACTGTGTCTATGGCAATGATCGATTTTTTCTTGTTTTTATTTACATCCATTATATGTCTGTGTGTGAGTCTGTGTGTGTGTGGGCCTGTGTGTGTGTGGGCCTGTGTGTGTGTGGGCCTGTGTGTGTCTGTGTGAGTCCGTGTCTCTCGGGGTGAGCCGGTTCGACCTCCCCCTCCCCTCCCTAGGGTTGTATGTGTTGACGTGTATCTGAGTAGGTGTGTCTAGGCCTAAATGTGTATTCTGTTAGTTTAGTCAGGGTGGTGTTCTAACCACCATTTAGTCAGGGTGGGCTGACCACTATTTAGTCAGGGTGGGCTGACCACCATTTAGTCAGGGTGGGCTGACCACCATTTAGTCAGGGTGGGCTGACCACCATTTAGTCAGGGTGGGCTGACCACCATTTAGTCAGGGTGGGCTGACCACCATTTAGTCAGGGTGGGCTGACCACCATTTAGTCAGGGTGGGCTGACCAACATTTAGTCAGGGTGGGCTGACCACTATTTAGTCAGGGTGGGCTGACCACCATTTAGTCAGGGTGGGCTGACCACTATTTAGTCAGGGTGGGCTGACCAACATTTAGTCAGGGTGGGCTGACTACTATTTAGTCAGGGTGGGCTGACCACCATTTAGTCAGGGTGGGCTGACCAACATTTAGTCAGGGTGGGCTGACCACTATATTTTCGTTTGTCAAATTTTATTTTCAGCAAGTTTTACTTCTCTGTCATCTTGTGGATAAACAGCTATAGCAATCATCATGACAGGTGAGTTGTTGTATGACAGGTGAGTTGTTGTATGACAGGTGAGTTGTCGTATGACAGGTGAGTTGTTGTATGACAGTTGTTGTATGACGGATGTTGTATGACACATGAGTTGTTTTGGCACATGAATGTATTTATTTGTTGTAATTCCATTCTTCGCTGGTTCTTGACTTTCTACTTTAAACTCGCTACCTTCCCCCCTCCCCACTAAACTTGTCATTTTCCCAATTAAATTTGCCATGTTCCCACTAAACTTGCCATGTCCCCACTAAACTTGTCATGTTCTCACTAAACTTGCCACTTGCAGGTCTAGTAAAAGCCAAGAAATATGACTGGAAGGATTCCAACATGGCTCTCTTTGGGACAGACACCGAAAAAAATGTCAAAAGTAAGTTGTGGTCACGTGGTCTTGTGTGGAGGGCATCACGGGGGAGGGGGGGGTATCATTGGGGGGGGGGGGGGTACTTCTAAATATGACGTACATATTGAGGTGGAAGAAGAGGGGGGTCAAGATAAATGACCTTTGTGTTGACCCCACACCTCATGTTGCCTGAAGTAATCTTGAGAAAACTTTATCTGGCACACAAACTGTAACAATGTTTCCCGTCACACAAACTGTAACAATGTTTCCCGTCACACAAACTGTACCAATGTTTCCCGTCACACAAACTGTAACAATGTTTCCCGTCACACAAACTGTAACAATGTTTCCCGTCACACAAACTGTAACAATGTTTCCCGTCACACAAACTGTAACAATGTTTCCCGTCACAAACTGTAATACACAAACTGTAACAATGTTTCCCGTCACACAAACTGTAACACACAAACTGTAACAATGTTTCCCTGAGCAGAAGATTCAGCCAATTGTGAGCCGGCTTGGAAGGTGGCAGGGCGGGATGTTGGCGTGCAGGTCTGGAGGATTGTGGTATGTCACCTTTTACCTGATTGGTTGATTGTGGTATGTCACCTTTTACCTGATTGGTTGATTGTGGTATGTCACCTTTTACCTGATTGGTTGATTGTGGTATATCACCTTTTATATGATTGGTTGATTGTGGTATATCACCTTTTATCTGATTGGTTGATTGTGGTATGTCACCTTTTATCTGATTGGTTGATTGTGGTATGTCACCTTTTATCTGATTGGGTAATTGTGGTATATCACCTTTTATCTGATTGGTTGATTGTGGTATATCACCTTTTATCTGATTGGTTGATTGTGGTATGTCACCTTTTATATTATTGGTTGATTGTAGCGTGTCACCTTTTATCTGATTGGTTGATTGTGGTATATCACCTTTTATCTGATTGGTTGATTGTGGTATGTCACCTTTTATCTGATTGGTTGATTGTGGTATATCACCTTTTATATGATTGGTTGATTGTGGTATATCACCTTTTATCTGATTGGTTGATTGTGGTATGTCACCTTTTATCTGATTGGTTGATTGTCTGCTGTTTCCACAGAAATTCAAGGTCCAAGCCTGGCCAAAAGACGACTACGGTAAATTTTACGAAGGTGACTCCTACATTGTGCTCAATGTAAGTCAGGCCTGACCCCAGGGTCAACAACTGTAACATTGATATGCCTGGTGCTGGCTTCTGGAATCTTAGGACTAATTACACTGTTTAATTATAATTATTTCAAACTTTTATAATTGTAATTACACTGTTTAATTATAATTATTTCAAACTTTTATAATTGTAATTATGTCTGACATACTTCGCCTCGACTTTTTTCATTTTCTCTACCCTTTGACCTGATGCTTGTTTTTCGTTAATTTAAATTCTAATTAAAAACCTAATTAAAACATCTCGCTAGACGTACCACGACCCAGAGGAAAACGTAAGTGATGACCTTCACCTTCACTCCTTCACCTGCACATTTTCTTGTAGACTAGAATAGAATTGTCGCAACCTGTTGTCACAACCTACCTGTCACAACCTACCTGTCACAACCTACTGTCACAACCTACTGTTACAACCTGCTAACACAACTTACTGTCACAACCTACTGTCACAACCTACTGTCACAACCCACAACCTACTGTCACAACCTACTGTCACAACCCACTGTCAAAACCCACTGTCACAACCTACTATCACAACCCACTGTCACAACCTACTGTCACAACACACTGTCACAACCCACTGTCACAACCTACTGTCACAACCTACTGTCACAACCTACTGTCACAACCTACTGTCACAACCCACTGTCAAAACCCACTGTCACAACCTACTATCACAACCCACTGTCACAACCTACTGTCACAACCCACTGTCACAACCCACTGTCACAACTCACTGTCACAACCTACTGTCACAACCCACTGTCACAACCCTCTAGAACATATCTGCACCGATACCGTGTAGCGAGTGTCCCTGTAGATCTCTGGATGTGACTAGAATGTTAGTGCCAGACTTGTGTCCTGCAGCTTTCAGCAATATTTCACTTCAAATGTAAAGACGTTTCAACACCAGCACCCCAACCCCAGCACCCCCCTACCCAACCCCACCCGAGCGTTATTTGTGTGTAGATTAGAAATTAAGAACTTTGAATTGTAGTTCGTGTATTTGGGAGGTGAGGGGGGGGGGGATCAACTGACAAGTCACGATAGAAATCTGCCCATATTTTATAACGTGTATGGGTAGGTGTAGTAAATATTTCTGTTATATTAATAACATGATATTGGCTTGTGTAAAAGGTCACATTTCTATGATATAGTCTATTATAAGTGCGATATGTGGTGATATAGATGAAAGAAACTCGTGTATTTTCTGTTCATATCTAAACTTAGGGTTTTTATGGACTTGATGACGTCATCTCTTGAGTTTTGTTGTTGTCTCACGTGATGTTGTCTAGCGTGATGTTGTCATCAAGTTGTTTCAGCACCCGATGACGTGTAGCCAAATTATCTTCCACGGTAGTGTCCCTTTAAAAACAAGGGACACTACTTTGTAATCATTGAATTAAAAAACTGTTGCCTGAGTTGAATAAGGTCTAGCCTCGTACAAATGTCACGTGACATTCTATGTCAACACTCTATGCGCATGCGCTGTTATGCTCGTCTTGTCTTGACTGGAAATGATACATTTAATTACGGGAACCATCACATTGGACTGCGACCTTTGAACCATCACATTGGACTGCGACCTTTGAACCATCACATTGGACTGCGACCTTTGAACCATCACATTGCACTGCGACCTTTGAACCATCACATTGGACTGCGACCTTTGAACCATGCCTACAACATCTCTCTACCCCACAAGCTGCTGATCTAGACCAAATCTCTCAATTGTTTTTCTTTTCAATTATTTAAAGATAGATTCTCTGTCCTTCTATTAATCCCGCACCCCACACATGACGTCACCGGTCTCCTCTCATGACGTCACCTGTCCCCACATACGACGTCACCTCTCCTCACATGACGTCACCTGTCCCACCTGTGTTTCAGACGTACAAGGAGCAGGACGGCGACCAGCTCTTGTATGACGTACACTTTTGGATTGGCCGGTACAGCACTCAGGTGGGTTGGGTTCGGTGATTAGTGTGTACGGATGGGGTGTGGAGGGTTGGGTTCGGTAATTAGTGGAGGGTTGGGTTCGGTGATTAGTGGAGGGTTGGGTTCGGTGATTAGTGGAGGGTTGGGTTCGGTGATTAGTGGAGGGTTGGGTTCGGTGATTAGTGGAGGGTTTGGGTTCGGTGATTAGTGAAGGGTTGGGTTCGGTGATTAGTGTGTACGAATGTGGTATGGAGGGTTGGGTTCGGTAATTAGTGTGTACGGATGTGGCTTGGGGGGTTGGGTTCGGTGATTAGTGTGTACGAATGGGGTTTGGGTTCGGTGATTAGTGTGTACGAATGTCGTTCGGTGATTAGTGTGTACGAATGTCGTTCGGTGATTAGTGTGTACGAATGTCGTTCGGTGATTAGTGTGTACGAATGTCGTTCGGTGATTAGTGTGTACGAATGTCGTTCGGTGATTAGTGTGTACGAATGTCGTTCGGTGATTAGTGTGTACGAATGTCGTTCGGTGATTAGTGTGTACGAATGGGGTTTGGGTTCGAGGATTAGTGTGTACGGATTACTGAGCCCAGCTAGATAAGGACAGCAACCTGACTGTATTCTCTGTTCGAGCTGAAGGGCAGCCAATAGAGAGTGTGCTAGTTTCTCTTTTGTCTGTTTTACTTCCGCTTTGTCTAAAAATAGAACACGGTGCCATAAAAAATATCGAGAAGCAGGACTTAAATAAAATAAAAGCCAAGGTCACAGATATCAAATGTCGGGTAGTGAAGTTACCTGTCAGCCGAGGTAGATTCGTCACGTGACTGGGCTAACTTAAGCTCCGTCTGTCTGGGCTAACTTAAGCTCCGTGTGTCTGGGCTAACTTAAGCTCCGTGTGTCTGGGCTAACTTAAGCTCCGTCTGTCTGGGCTAACTTAAGCTCCGTGTGTCTGGGCTAACTTAAGCTCCGTGTGACTGGGCTAACTTAAGCTCCGTGTGACTGGGCTAACTTAAGCTCCGTGTGTCTGGTGTAAGCTCCGTGTGTCTGGTGTAAGCTCCGTGTGTCTGGGCTAACTTAAGCTCCGTGTGTTTTGGCTAACTTAAGCTCCGTGTGTCTGGGCTAACTTAAGCTCCATGTGTCTGGGCTAACTTAAGCTCCGTGTGTCTGGGCTAACTTAAGCTCCATGTGTCTGAGCTAACTTAAGCTCCGTGTGTCTGGGCTAACTTAAGCTCCGTGTGTCTGGGCTAACTTAAGCTCCGTGTGTCTGGACTAAATTAAGCTCCGTGTGTCTTGAAGGACGAGTACGGCACCGCGGCCTACAAGACCGTAGAACTGGACACCTTCCTCAATGATGTACCCGTCCAGCACAGAGAAGTTCAAGGTCACGAGTCGGATCTGTTCAAATCTTACTTCAAGAGTATCACGTGAGTTGAAAACTTTTGGCTCACCTAATTACATGTGATGTTCATTAGCAGATAGTGTTGTAATTCACCTAATTAGCTCACCCTCGTCACACCCTTGTCTCACCCGTCTCACCCTCGCCTCGCCCTGGTCTCACCTTTGTCTCACCCTCGCCTCGCCCTGGTCTCACCTTTGTCTCACCCTCGCCTCGCCCTGGTCTCACCTTTGTCTCACCCTCGTCTCACCCTTGTCTCACCCTTGTCTCACCACCTAGAATCCTGAAAGGTGGGGCAGACACCGGCTTCAGACACGTCAAACCAGAGGAATACAAGCCCCGCCTCCTGCAGATCACAGGCAACAAGACGTCGGTCACTGTCACTGAGGTAGGTCGCTGAGATAAGTTACTGAGGTAGGTCACTGAGGTAGGTCGCTGAGATAAGTCACTGAGGTAGGTCGCTGAGATATTCCACTGAGGTAAGTCGCTGAGATAAGTTACTGAGATAAGTCACTGAGGTAGGTCGCTGAGATATTCCACTGAGGTAAGTCGCTGAGATAAGCTACTGAGATAAGTCACTGAGGTAGGTCGCTGAGATATTCCACTGAGGTAAGTCGCTGAGATAAGTTACTGAGATAAGTCACTGAGGTAGGTCATTGAGGTAGGTCGCTGAGGTAGGTCGCTGAGGTCACTGAGGTAGGTTGCTGAGATAAGTCGCTGAGGTATGTCGCTGAGGTAGGTCGCTGAAGTCACTGAGGTAGGTTGCTGAGATAAGTCACTGAGGTAGGTCAGTGAGATAAGTCGCTGAAATAAGTCGCTAAGGTAAGTCACTGAGGTAAGTCACTGAAGTCACTGAGGTAAGTCACTGAGGTAAGTCGCTGAGATAAGTCACTGAGATAAGTCGCTGAGGTAAATCACTGAGGTAGGTCACTGAGGTAAGTCACTGAGGTAGGTCACTGAAGTCACTGAGGTAAGTCACTGAGGTAAGTCGCTGAGGTAGGTCAATGAGGTAAGTCGCTAGGTAAGTCTCTGAGGTAAGTCACTGAAGTCACTGAGGTAGGTCACTGAGATAAGTCACTGAGGTAAGTCACTGATGTAAGTCACTGAGGTAAGTTGCTGAGGTAAATCACTGAGGTAGGTCAATGAGGTAAGTCGCTAGGTAAGTCTCTGAGGTAAGTCACTGAAGTCACTGAGGTAGGTCACTGAGATAAGTCGCTGAGATAAGTCACTGATGTAAGTCACTGAGGTAAGTCGCTGAGGTAAATCACTGAGGTAGATCACTGAGATAAAGGGTTGACTCCCTCACTATGTACTTGAGGTAACAATTTTCTCAAGATATTTTTACTAATGTTTATATCTCATTATTCTAGACTCCCGCGGCATAACTTAATGAGATAATAATGACCTCGAATCCATTTCGTCAGGTGCCCATCAAAAGGGAGAGAATAACGTCAAACGATGTCTTCATCTTAGACAAGGGGCTGGAGATTTACCAGTGGAACGGCAAAAGTTGCAACAAAGATGAAAAATACAAAGTTGGTGATTTTTTTTTTTTTACTTGTTATTTATTTCATTTTTCTTTTCAAAACAAATATTTTGGTACGAGTCTCAGCATTAAGATTAATTAAAGACTAATTAAAGGTTTGGTAAAAGTCCCAGCATTAAGATTAATTAAAGACTAATTAAAGGCAGACAATGAATGAGAGTTTGCTGTCAGTCAACTTTTGATTTGCTGTCAGTCAACTTTTGATTTACTGTCAGTCAACTTTTGATTTGCTGTCAGTCAACTTTTGATTTGCTGTCAGTCAACTTTTGATTTGCTGTCAGTCAACTTTTGATTTGCTGTCAGTCAACTTTTGATTTCCCCCCAGGCAGTGCAGGTGCTCCAGCACATCAAGTCAGAAAGGGGAGGCAAACCAAACGTAGAGACATTCGATGAGGACGACAATGGGGTAAGCTCAAAGTTTTCTTTTTACAAGTTCCAAAAAGTGGAATCTTTCTCTACATTTGGGTTTATTGGCCTCATGATTTAAGTCATGAAACTTGACCTCATGACCTAAGTCATGAAACTTGACCTCATGACCTAAGTCATGAAACTTGACCTCATGACCTAAGTCATGAAACTTGACCTCATGACCTAAGTCATGAAACTTGTTGTCATTGTTTATCAACCCACTTTTTGTCTAGAACGGTTTCTTTGACTATCTGGGTGATGATGACGACGATGATGACGACGATGACTCAGAATTTGAAGATGACAACAGAACACCAGAGTTGTACAGGTAAAAATAGAACAGGTAGAGGCTCTACAGTCAGAGTTGTACACATTAAACACAAATTATTTTATGATTATTTTATCAAAGATTAAGTGATACGACTGATTATTTTATCAAAGATTAAGTGATACCACTGATTATTTTATCAGAGATTAAGTGATACCAATGATTATTTTATCAAAGATTAAGTGATACTACTGATTATTTTATCAAAGATTAAGTGATACCACTGATTATTTTATCAGAGATTAAGTGATACCACTGCTTATTTCATCAAAGATTAAGTGATACCAATGATTATTTTATCAAAGATTAAGTGACACCAATGATTATTTCATCAAAGATTAATTGATACCACTGATTATTTCATCAAAGATTAAGTGATACCAATGATTATTTTATCAAAGATTAAGTGATACCACTGATTATTTCATCAAAGATTAAGTGATACCAATGATTATTTTATCAAAGATTAAGTGATAACACTGATTATTTTATCAAAGATTAAGTGATACCACTGATTATTTCATCAAAGATTAAGTGATACCAATGATTATTTTATCAAAGATTAAGTGATACCAATGATTATTTTATCAAAGATTAAGTGACACCAATGATTATTTCATCAAAGATTAATTGATACCACTGATTATTTCATCAAAGATTAAGTGATACCAATGATTATTTTATCAAAGATTAAGTGATACCACTGATTATTTCATCAAAGATTAAGTGATACCAATGATTATTTTATCAAAGATTAAGTGATACCACTGATTATTTTATCAAAGATTAAGTGATACCACTGATTATTTCATCAAAGATTAAGTGATGCCTCAGGTGAGATGGAGTTTGAGAAGACCAAAGATGGACGGGTGTTTAAAGACGATTTCTCCAGCAAGGTAAGCTGTGGTCATTGGACAGATGGACAGCATGATATACCTTATAGGCTATGGTCATTTGACAGATGGACAGCATGATATACATCATTGTGACATAGCAGAGAGAATGTTACTATTCTAAGACTTTTGAGACAACAATTAAAACAGTTGAGACATTTATTAATTAAGCTTGTTGAGACATTAATTAAGACTTTTGAGACATAAATTAAGCTTGTTGAGACATTAATTAAGCTTGTTGAGACATTAATTAAGATTGTTGAGACATTAATTAAGGTTGTTGAGACATTAATGAAGCTTGTTGAGACATTAATTAAGCTTGTTGAGACATTAATTAAGCTTGTTGAGACATTAATTAAGCTTGTTGAGACATTAATTAAGCTTGTTGAGACATTAATTAAGCTTGTTGAGACATTAATTAAGCTTGTTGAGACATAGTTAATGAGATGTTTGACCTTGTTTGAAGGACGTCTTCATCTTTGACAACAAGAAAGAATGTTTTGTATGGATCGGCAAGGGAGCTTCCAAGAATGAAAAACAAAACGCCTTGTCCTATGCCCACGTGAGTCACAACTCTATCAGTGTAGCTCAAATAATTTCAAATAATTGGCACCATTGATTTTGTTTTAAAAAGTTCTAAGATTTTTTTTTGGGTTAAACACATCAATTTACAATCTCACAATGAGAGTTTGTATTTGTTTGTTTGTTTGTAGTCGAAATCTGTACATTACGACACATTTTTAAGACGAGCAATTGTTTTTATCATTTTACGAATTTTATCTTTAATGACTATTTTGAATAAATAAATTAAAATCTAATTACATATGAAATTAGTCATCGAAAATAACTAAACAGGCTTTTATACAATATAACATGGGGGGGGGATAACTGTGGTATCTATCACGCTAATTAAGGCAGAAAGTATTTGTGAGGAGTGATTTTAATAGACAATATTAGCATCATTAAGTTTTGCTTGCAGCAATTAGTTTAAAGGGAACGGGGTGAGGGGTTAATTAGGTAAGATCTGGTTGGAAAATTAAAGTGGTCCTGATTGTTTTAAATAATTAACAAACTTGAGCTGATTGTTACATTTGTCATTGGAAATACTAAAGTAGTAAATAAAAACTAAATTTAAAAGTTAGCATACATTAAGTGAGGTTGAATTAAGAAAATAGTAAAAATTTTGCTCAAATGTGTTAAATATATGTGTTGAGGGTTTGTATTATGGTGAAGTCTTGGCTGATGAAATCATGTTTTCTTTGCAGACATTCCTGAAGTCTTCCACCCACCCCCTCATCCCCATCACAGTGGTGTCGGAGGGCCAAGAGAACAAGAGCTTCAGGGCTGCTATTGCTGCATAAGTCTGTTGACCCCCACACTGACCCACACACTGACCCGCACACTTGACCCCCACACTGACCCGCACACTTGACCCCCACACTGACCCCCACACTTGACCGAATGACGAATCCACAGATGACTCCCACATTCTACAGACATCTCACCCCAATACACCCCCACACATAAACACCCCCCACCCCCACATACACACACACAGACAACTCTTATACAGTCAAGTTAAAGATCCACTAGATTTCTGTGCACCTGAGAAAACTTGTCTACATATCATCAATTTATTTGTTGAATGAATGGGAGACAATTTGCTTCAAATAAATGGGAGACAGCTACCTTCAAATAAATAGGAGACAGCTACCTTCAAATAGATGGGAGACAACTTGCTTCAAATAAATTTGTTTTGTGCTTATGTCCTGTCAAACTTTTTCAAGTAATTTTTTAATTCCTGTATACATCTGGGCAATGTGTATGTAGCCAGGACAGTAAATAAGTTTCCCTGCCTGCAGTACTTTACTAGACACAACATTTCTGTAATTTGTTCCCAATATTTACTCTAGTTCTCTCAATTACTTTCATCTTATTTTCAATTTGAACTCAGTTTTTAAAAAATAATTTTTCCGTCTTTTTTATTTTATCCTGACTATCTGTGACTGCTTCAATTAGACCCATATGATATAATTATAGCATCTAATTATAACAACTAATTTAATAATACTGTAGGAGTTGGTGATAACTTTAATTATATTATTTTTTTTTAAATGTTACAATTTTTTTATGGCGGGAAAAATATTTTTTTTAAAAGATAACCAGTGCCGACGCCAGGTTCTTTAGCGCCCTAAATGTCTCGCAGAAATATCACCATTTTATTTATTTATTTTTTTTACATTATAAGCTGCGAAGAATTTTATGAAGTGTAAAAACTACTGAGTTGGGTTATTTTTAGATCTAGTTGTGACGTGTAAGTTGTCTCCATATGTTGTAGATTTGTGGTCAAATGTTTCTTTCGTCTGTGATGCTTTCAACTTTGTGATCAATGGCAGACTTTAAAAACTTCATGAATAGATAATAAATAATAATATCATATAGATTCTAGAAGCCTAGTAGATAAGTTGTTATTATAATTATAAACATTTGTTTAAAAACTTCATGAATAGAAGCTTAGATAAGTTGTTATAAACATTTGTTTTAAAACAATTCGACAAGTCTGCTGTAGGCTATTTGTCTCATTCGTGAATACATCTTACACCTGCACCATTGTAGCCTACATCATCACCACCAGCTGACGCTGCGACATCACCACCACCAGCTGATGTGCCCGATGTAAACATCCGCCATCTTGTTTTGTAGTTGTTGCAAAAATCAGATTGCCAATAGTCTTGATGATCTTAGATTGAAAAGTTTTTTTTATTTATTTTATATATTGTTAACAAATAAAAACTTGAACTATATTTTGTTATTGAACTTTTATTTACAAATTATTTTAAAAACAGAAGAAACAAGCAGCACAGCAGGTGAATTTAATGCTTGAAAAAAATTGTTAAAATAGTGGGACTCATTTAGAGCTGCCTTAATTTAATTACTATTCACATGGGTTGATAACTTGCTCATGACCTACGTTGGTAACCTGGGTTGGTGACCCATATTTGACCTGGGAAAATGACCCTACCAAGACACCAACCCATGTTAACATCGAGTACAGTAGGTTCAGCAGAGAATGAGAACCGACCAAAGATTTCAAACATTGGATGCAATATAAAATACAAGACTGGCGCAGAAAACACGGGCCACATATTTACAGAAAGTCGCCTATTGTTACGCCCCTTTGGACTGAACCTCAACCTCTATCTTGAATGTACGGAAAAACGAGTTATTTAACGACAAAAAAGATTTTTTTTATCCACGATCAACCTCTGAACATTTTATGGGGATACTAGATTTGTAATCAGAGTATATACAATGTAATATATTACATTTTTAAAACTAATAGGCTAGAGCTCCAATGGCTTAGCAAACAGTGTTTCTTCCAGACTTTTTTCCCCGGGGGGGCACTTGAAATCTTCGGGGGGGCGGTAAACTTTCTTCGGGGGGGCGGACACTGTTAAAAGTATATATTTTCTATATAAATTATATAAATTTCATTTCGTTCGGGGGGGCGGTAAAAATTTTTCGGGGGGGCTTAGCCCCCCCGAAGAGATGCCTGGAAGAAACTCTGTTAGCAAAAACAAAAAAGAAAATGGAAACCAAATTTTTTTTTTCTACAAAGTAGGTTTGTCACAGGTACAAAAACATTACATTATCCCCCACAGACATCGAACGGTCTCAAAGTTGGTGTTTACCGTATTTGTAATCTGGTATTGCTTGTGATATTGATAAAGTAACATAAATATGTAGTAGAAAGTCTTTCATAAGCTAAAAACCACATAAAATTGTTTAACCGAAGTAATTATTTTGAGAGAGGATTAAAGCAGATTTTTTAAAATGGTGTAAACCAATAAACAAAAGAGTAATTGGTAACAGTACTGAAGCCGACGTGCACAATCAAATTTACAATTATTTTTTTATGGAGTCACCCCCCCCCAGTTCGCTACTCTCTTTCTCTCTCTCTCTCTCTCTCTCTCTCTCTCTCTCTCTCTCTCTCTCTCTCTCTCTCACACACACACACACACACTTCAAAACTCGGAGCATGTTGTATAATAAGCTTGAAAAGGAATTTGGCATTGATAAGTTAATTATCAGACATGTCCAAGTATCGAATGAAATGTTGATTTGCAATTTTGGTGTCACCACCACCCAGGTCGTTGATTGACGTCATCAGATGTTTTTAAAATACACAACAACAAAAAACATTTTTAAAGATGTCACCCCCCCCCCAAACTTGTGTCGTCTTGTGAGGTACACCCCCCCCCACCCACTGCTACATTTCCATTAGCTTTAAATTGACAATGTCAAATGTCAGGCCGGCCACTCTATATCTGTCACATCAAAGCCAACAGCGCTCCATGTCAAACAAAAGAAAGGGATTACAGGTAAGGTGGCCATTATACAGGTAAGGTGGCCCACTACACAGGTAAGGTGGCCCACTACACAGGTAAGGTGGCCCACTATACAAGTAAGGTGGCCCACTACACAGGTAAGGTGGCCCACTACACAGGTAAGGTGGCCCACTACACAGGTAAGGTGGCCCACTACACAGGTAAGGTGGCCCACTACACAGGTAAGGTGGCCCATTACACAGGTAAGGTGGCCCACTCAGAGGTTAGGTGGCCACTACACAGGTAAGGTGGCCCACTACACAGGTAAGGTGGCCCACTCAGAGGTTAGGTGGCCACTACACAGGTAAGGTGGCCCACTATACAAGTAAGGTGGCCCACTACACAGGTAAGGTGGCCCACTATACAAGTAAGGTGGCCACTACACAGGTAAGGTGGCCCACTATACAAGTAAGGTGGCCCACTACACAGGTAAGGTGGCCCACTACACAGGTAAGGTGGGTGGCCCACTACACAGGTAAGGTGGGTGGCCCACTACACAGGTAAGGTGGCCCACTACACAGGTAAGGTGGCCCACTACACAGGTAAGGTGGCCCACTCAGAGGTTAGGTGGCCACTACACAGGTAAGGTGGCCCACTATACAAGTAAGGTGGCCCACTACACAGGTAAGGTGGGTGGCCCACTACACAGGTAAGGTGGCCCACTACACTGGTAAGGTGGGTGGCCCACTACACAGGTAAGGTGGGTGGCCCACTACACAGGTAAGGTGGCCCACTACACAGGTAAGGTGGCCCATTACACAGGTAAGGTGGCCCACTCAGAGGTTAGGTGGCCACTACACAGGTAAGGTGGCCCACTACACAGGTAAGGTGGCCCACTCAGAGGTTAGGTGGCCACTACACAGGTAAGGTGGCCCACTATACAAGTAAGGTGGCCCACTACACAGGTAAGGTGGGTGGCCCACTACACAGGTAAGGTGGCCCACTACACTGGTAAGGTGGGTGGCCCACTACACAGGTAAGGTGGGTGGCCCACTACACAGGTAAGGTGGCCCACTACACAGGTAAGGTGGCCCACTACACAGGTAAGGTGGCCCACTACACAGGTAAGGTGGGTGGCCCACTACACAGGTAAGGTGGGTGGCCCACTACACAGGTAAGGTGGCCCACTACACAGGTAAGGTGGCCCACTACACAGGTTGGGTGGGTGGCCCACTACACAGGTAAGGTGGCCCACTATACAAGTAAGGTGGCCCACTACACAGGTAAGGTGGCCCACTACACAGGTAAGGTGGCCCACTATACAAGTAAGGTGGCCCACTACACAGGTAAGGTGGGTGGCCCACTACACAGGTAAGGTGGGTGGCCCACTACACAGGTAAGGTGGCCCACTATACAAGTAAGGTGGCCCACTACACAGGTAAGGTGGCCCACTATACAAGTAAGGTGGCCCACTACACAGGTAAGGTGGGTGGCCCACTACACAGGTAAGGTGGGTGGCCCACTACACAGGTAAGGTGGCCCACTATACAAGTAAGGTGGCCCACTACACAGGTAAGGTGGCCCACTATACAAGTAAGGTGGCCCACTACACAGGTAATGTGGCCCACTACACAGGTAAGGTGGCCCACTACACAGGTTTTCTACCAGATGTCTCTCCGTCTAAGGTTGCCCCCACATGCCCCACCCCCCTCAGTGCCCGGGGTCAAAGTTGTCCCCATTGACACTCTCGGTGTAGATGGACCTCCGGCCGTACCAGGGCAGATCCCTCTCCTCCTCCAGCTCGGCAATGCCCTGCCACATCTTGCCCAGCAGCAGCTCCTTGCCTGCCACGCCCCCCAGATCCGCGTGAGTACCCACGTACAGGGGAGTCTCCATCGCTATGTCCTCTTTGCCCTCCACGCGAACCTAAAAATAGATGCTCGTCATTTGTCTGGAGAACATTCAAATTATGACGCATCTATCAATATTTCTTACCTTCAACTGGAAGAAATATTTCTTACCTTAAACTGGAAGAAATAATTCTTACCTTCAACTGGAAGAAATATTTCTTACCTTCAACTGGAAGAAATATTTCTTACCTTCAACTGAAAGAAATATTTCTTACCTTCAACTGAAAGAAATAATTCTTACCTTCAACTGGAAGAAATATTTCTTACCTTCAACTGGAAGAAATATTTCTTACCTTCAACTGGAAGAAATAATTCTTACCTTCAACTGGAAGAAATATTTCTTACCTTCAACTGGAAGAAATAATTCTTACCTTCAACTTGAAGAAATATTTCTTACCTTCAACTGGAAGAAATAATTCTTACCTTCAACTGGAAGAAATATTTCTTACCTTCAACCGGAAGAAATATTTCTTACCTTATACTGGAAGAAATATTTCTTACCTTCAACTGGAAGAAATATTTCTTATTTTCAACTGGAAGACATATTTCTTACCTTAAACTGGAAGAAATATTTCTTACCTTAAACCGGAAGAAATATTTCTTACCTTAAACTGGAAGAAATATTTCTTACCTTAAACCAGAAGAAATATTTCTTACCTTCAACCGGAAGAAATATTTCTTACCTTATACTGGAAGAAATATTTCTTACCTTATACTGGAAGAAATATTTCTTACCTTAAACTGGAAGAAATATTTCTTACCTTAAACTGGAATAAATATTTCTTACCTTAAACTGGAAGAAATATTTCTTACCTTAAACTGGAAGAAATATTTCTTACCTTAAACTGGAAGAAATATTTCTTACCTTAAACTGGAAGAAATATTTCTTACCTTAAACTGGAAGAAATATTTCTTACCTTAAACTGGAAGAAATATTTGATGTTCATGATCTGGCAGTGCTCGAGGCCTGAGTCCGGTAGAAATGGCGGCACGGGCAGCAGGACGTGACGCCACCGACGTCCACGGAATGTGTTGACGTCATACACGTCATCTCTCTTGCTCAGATATTGTCTGCACGTCAAGTAGAGAGTCAATTCTATCAAACGTCAAAATGTGTGTCATTTTGTTTCTAAAAGTCAAACATTCAATCATTTTTTTTTTCAAACAAAACAAAATTGATGTGAACATACCTCTAACTTCGTGTTAAAACCTACCCAAAGAATGTTGTGTGAACCTACTCAAAGAATTGTGTGAACCTACTCAAAGAATTGTGTGAACCTATCCAAAGAATTGTGTGAACCTACTCAAAGAATTGTGTGAACCTACCCAAAGAATTGTGTGAACCTATCAAAAGAATCTTGTGAACCTACCTGAAGATGATCTGGTGAACCTACCTGAAGATGATCTAATGAACCTACCTGAAGATGATCTAATGAACCTACCTGAAGATGATCTAATGAACCTACCTGAAGATGATCTAATGAACCTACTTGAAGATGATCTAATGAACCTACCTGAAGATGATCTAATGAACCTACCTGAAGATGATCTAATAAACCTACCTGAAGATGATCTAATGAACCTACCTGAAGATGATCTAATGAACCTACCTGAAGATGATCTAATGAACCTACCTGAAGATGATCTAATGAACCTACTTGAAGATGATCTAATGAACCTACCTGAAGATGATCTAATGAACCTACCTGAAGATGATCTAATAAACCTACCTGAAGATGATCTAATGAACCTACCTGAAGATGATCTAATGAACCTACCTGAAGATGATCTAATGAACCTACCTGAAGATGATCTAATGAACCTACCTGAAGATGATCTAATGAACCTACCTGAAGATGATCTAATGAACCTACCTGAAGATGATCTAATGAACCTACTTGAAGATGATCTAATGAACCTACCTGAAGATGATCTAATGAACCTACCTGAAGATGATCTAATAAACCTACCTGAAGATGATCTAATGAACCTACCTGAAGATGATCTAATGAACCTACCTGAAGATGATCTAATGAACCTACCTGAAGATGATCTAATGAACCTACTTGAAGATGATCTAATGAACCTACCTGAAGATGATCTAATGAACCTACCTGAAGATGATCTAATAAACCTACCTGAAGATGATCTAATGAACCTACCTGAAGATGATCTAATGAACCTACCTGAAGATGATCTAATGAACCTACCTGAAGATGATCTAATGAACCTACTTGAAGATGATCTAATGAACCTACCTGAAGATGATCTAATGAACCTACCTGAAGATGATCTAATAAACCTACCTGAAGATGATCTAATGAACCTACCTGAAGATGATCTAATGAACCTACCTGAAGATGATCTAATGAACCTACCTGAAGATGATCTAATGAACCTACCTGAAGATGATCTAATGAACCTACCTGAAGATGATCTCATGACCCTCGGCCAGGTAGTGACTCTCCAGAAGGACGGATGCCTGGATGAGGCTGATCTCCTTGCCCGTCCAATTAGAGACCTCGGCATCCACCACGATGTTGTCGCCTGGTACAGCGGCGCTCTTGTCTATGGTGGCTACCATCTTCACCTGGTGGGGGGGGGGGGAGACCACGGGATGTGTGTAAGTAAAAATATTCTCTCAAAAGGCTTCAGACGTTTTGTGTGTACCAGTAACCAATTTTGATTCCCCTGCCGATATAGACCCCCCCCCCCCACCCCTGCCGTAGAGAGGCCAGCATGAGTTACCTTCCCTGTGGTGAGTCCCAGAAACAGACGACTTTTCTTGAGGGTTTTCTCCTGGTACACGTGGGCTGGCAGCTCGGGACGTCTCAGGACCATGAAGGGCTCGCTCGTGATGGTCGTGTTTCTTTCATCCTCACACTCGAATTTCACCTGCAAGGGGGGGGGGGGGGCACACAGAGAAGTTATTTCACTGGGGAATCACTTAGTACTAATCAATTATTTCGATTTTTAAAAAATGTCGATAAGGCCCATCCCTTCCTTCTCGTTATCAGAGTTAAACATGTGTATAGTGTGTCAGCCAATCACATTTGTAAAAGGGCGGAGCTACCGTTGGGTTTGTTGTATGAAAACCTTGAGTGTGCATTGAGGACCCTAAGCTAGAAAATACCTCGGCAACCGCCCAGATGTCAGGGGCGTCACGGGGTACTCTAAGGGAGTCACTTGTTACACTACCGCAAGGGCGCCAGGTACGGCCCCTGGTTCGGTGTAAACGTCGTGTGCCATCTTATGCTTATTGTAGGGTGCTCTTGAAAAGGAATGTAGGCGCCATATTGCTTTCCGGGGAGCCTGGGGTGCCAAGTTGCTCCCTGCCAGGACGCCGCCCCAGCGTAATTAAAAATGTTTTTCGGAGAAACCTCCCCTCAACAACTTGCCAAAATTGTCATGGCGATTAGATGAATGGTGTGGTTATGCATAAAGGACAACCCCACAAACATACTGTCATTTTTATCCATATAGATAGATCGAAAGAAATATATATTTAGTGTCGATGATATCTATTCTAAAGATGACCTTTGTGATCAGAGTTTCTTCCAGGCATCTCTTCGGGGGGGGGGCAAAGCCCCCCCCCCCCCCCCCGAAAAATTTTTACCGCCCCCCCGAACGAAATGAAATTTATATAATTTATATAGAAAATATAAACTTTTAACAGTGTCCGCCCCCCCCGAAGAAAGTTTACCGCCCCCCCGAAGATTTCAAGTGCCCCCCCCGGAGAAAAAAGTCTGGAAGAAACACTGTTTGTGATATCTATTCTAAGGATGACCTTTGTGATATCTATTTTAAAGATGACCTTTGCTATGTAGGTGACCTGTCCGTAGACGCCATTAAACGTAGACGGAAGTGACGTAGGCAGCTGGTACTTGAAACCAAACTGGTGCAGACCTCTGGGCAGCTCGACGGAACGGTCAAGGCCGATGTCCAGCAGGGGCTTGGATGACTCCAGGTAGATCTCTGAGGACTGGTACACCTGGGGAAGTTAATGGGGAAGTTAATGAACGTGTGCTACACCTGGGGAAGTTAATGAACGTGTGCTACAGTTAATGAACGTGTGCTACAGTTAATGAACGTGTGCTACAGTTAATGAACGTGTGCTACAGTTAATGAACGTGTGCTACAGTTAATGAACGTGTGCTACAGTTAATGAACGTGTGCTACAGTTAATGAACGTGTGCTACAGTTAATGAACGTGTGCTACAGTTAATGAACGTGTGCTACAGTTAATGAACGTGTGCTACACCTGGGGAGGTTAATGAACGTGTGCTACACCTGGGGAGGTTAATGAACGTGTGCTACAGTTAATGAACGTGTGCTACACCTGGGGAGGTTAATGAACGTGTGCTACACCTGGGGAGGTTAATGAACGTGTGCTACACCTGGGGAGGTTAATGAACGTGTGCTACACCTGGGGAAGTTAATGAACGTGTGCTACAGTTAATGAACGTGTGCTACACCTGGGGAGGTTAATGAACGTGTACTACACCTGGGGAAGTTAATGAACGTGTGCTACACCTGGGGAAGTTAATGAACGTGTGCTACACCTGGGGAAGTTAATGAACGTGTGCTACACCTGGGGAAGTTAATGAACGTGTGCTACACCTGGGGAAGTTAATGAACGTGTGCTACACCTGGGGAAGTTAATGAACGTGTGCTACACCTGGAGAAGTTCATGAACTCGAGTATCAACAAGTCATGTTGGAATGCTGGGATTGGTGCCGTACCCGCTTTTTGTTGGTCGCCTCCCATGAGACTGTGGCGGACCCCAGGAAGTGAATAGTTAGCCCCCTTGTTCTGACCCCCGTCCTCAAGTGGAGGGAGACGACCCCGTTCATTTCCTCCCCTGGCAGGTAGTACTGCTTGTGTAAGTGGCGCTGTTCGTCAGACGGGCTGTACTGCTGTATGTGGCGCTGTTCGTCGTCATCGTCGTAGATGAAGTGGATTAGAAGATCCTCCACCGACATGACCAACTTTTCTCGTCTGCCGGACTAGTCAAGTTTTGTTGACTTTATCTGAAGCACAAGTCTGAAAATGGAAACAAAAAATTATTTCGTGTAAAGTGAAGTGACGGGTGATGTGAGGGGGGGGGGGGGGGGGGGGGGGCGCCATGTTCTTCGTTTAACCAGATGTGAAAATTCTCGAACATTAAATTCTTTAACACAATTTTTGTTTTAAATATGGCAGAAATGTAGTGACAAAAATTGTGATAGAGAATGTTAAACCCTGAAACTGTTACGTGCGAGACTGACGTCATGTTACAAGTTGATGACGTGTCAGTTAATGAATGCTGGCTGTCAGCGACTTCTGGTATGTAGCTGTGACACCTGAAGGTTGTCGTCTGGTCAAGGGGTCTCACGTTCTGATATCAGGGGTGGTGGTGGTTGTGGTGGTGGCTGTACGCATAAATTGTGAGGGGGGGTGTTTAATTAGAAAACTCGTTTACCAAGCTTGGCATTTAAAAATAGAATAAAAATTATTTTTTTTAAATATGTACAATCGCCGCTAGATTTTGGGTGCGCAAGTGTTATTATCGTCTATAACTTTTGCTTAAGATTTCTTTTATCTTTTTGATGTGCAATAAGTGTGTGGGTCACAACTGGTGTCTGTCCCCACACACACCCACACATTTAGAAATATTTTACAAGCTTTTATTTAACTCACTTCCTCTGTCTGTCTGTCTGTCTAGATTGAAACGGCGGAGCGAAAATTCGGACACTTCTACTTGACAGATACGGTTCACAGTTGGCACGTGGGTCAAGACATAAAGACAATGCACAAAGACCTACACAATTACATTACATTTAATTAATTCTAAATTAATTTGCACTCTCTAAATATTTAATACATAAAAGTATTAACAAATTCTTAAAAAATATATATCAGTGACTTTTTTCCTGTGTTTTTTTCCTGTGACTTTTTCTCTGTTTTTTTTCCTGTGTTTTTTCCCTGTGTTTTTTTTTCCTGTGACTTTTTTTCTTTTTTTTTTTCCTGTGATTTTTTTCCCTGTGTTTTTTTCCCTGTGACTTTTTTTTCCCTGTGACTTTTTTTTCCTGTGACTTTTTTTCCTACAATCCACATGACGCCACCTGATCAGCTGAATTAGACCAGGATCAAGACGACCAGATCAGTGGGGCGTGACGATGGTCACGGGTGAATGCACACAATTATGAAAGAAAATGGCTGTACATGCAGGGTTGGCTGTACATGGAATGGGGGGGGGGGGGGGGGCGTGTGTACTTGTAGGATTATGTAGTGTGACATGTTGACGGTTCATTTGTCTCAGGCAGCAGACAGCAGACAGCAGACAGCAGACAGCCAACAAACATGTGTAGCACCAGATATTTGTGCTGCATCAAGACCCAGTTCGAGAGTTGATTGAATCGATCAGAAAGTTGAAGGCTGGAAACTTAGAAACTTAATTCATCTTGTTGACAGTTCATCTAAAGTTGTTGACAGTTCATCTAAAGCTGTTTACAGTTAATCTAAAGCTGTTGACAGTTCATCTAGAGCTGTTGACAGCTCATCTAAAGCTGTTTACAGTTAATCTAAAGCTGTTGACAGTTCATCTAAAGCTGTTTACAGTTAATCTAAAGCTGTTGTTGACATTTCATCTAAAGCTGTTGTTGGCCAAAAAAACATTTTTGTCGTAAAAAAGCAATGACTCATCAATAGACATACCCTTGCCCCCCCCCCCCCCTTCACCCAACAAGGATGGTCACGACTGACTGATCTGATTACAGTAATTCAGCTGGCTATTTACACTCTGGCTATTTACACTCTGGCTATTTACACTCTGACTATTTACACTCTGGCTATTTACACTCTGGCTATTTACACTCTGGCTATTTACACTCTGGCTATTTACACTCTGACTATTTACACTCTGGCTATTTACACTCTGGCTTTTTACATTCTGGCTATTTACACTCTGACTATTTACACTCTGGCTATTTACACCCTGGCTATTTACACTCTGGCTATTTACACTCTGACTATTTACACTCTGGCTATTTACACCCTGGCTATTTACACCCTGGCTATTTACACTCTGGCTTTACACATTCTGGTTATTTACACTCTGACTATTTACTCTCTGGCTATTTACACTCTGACTATTTACACTCTGGCTATTTACACTCTGGCTATTTACACTCTGGCTATTTACACTCTGGCTATTTACACCCTGGCTATTTACACTTTACACTCTGGCTACTTACATGCTGGTTAATTACAGGCTGGCCAATTAATTACTGGCTGCCCTAATTTCAACTCAGTTTGGAAAAACAATTCTTTCGCCAGGTCAACATTTACGTACATTTTAATTTTTTTTTCTACCTTAGGTATATCACATCTTTAAAACAATTGTTTCTACTGTTGTCCATTAAATCACTAAACCAACACGTCGGCTGGTCCTTACCTGTTTCAGTTTTAATCCAAACACTGGACGTCTATGGGACGTCTACAGAACGTCTACGATGTTGTGATCTGGGTCTCCAACTCTCAACAAACAACAAACTGTTCAGGCAGACGTAGGTAGTTGTGTCCCCTACACGGCTGATATCGTCTGCTGTGGTAATGTGCCGCTCCCAGCATTCAATCCATTCAGCTCTACAGTCACCAGAGATGGGCGTGTCTAGCACCCTTTCAACATAGGTGGGTAAACAACGGGGTGGGGGAAGCTAGGTGGGGCTTTTGACAGTTGCAGGCAAACTTTAGATTACAGGGACTTGCATCTCAAGTTAGACATGAAATTATTGATTTGGCTTCAAACTTCTGCAAGGTTCGACATTAATAGTGACGTCATTAGGTTGGTTGTCAGCAGGTGTGGTAACTGGCAGTGACACTCCCCCCTCCCCCACAACGGCAAGATATAATAAATATAATAAATAAATTATAAATATATATATATATATATATATATATATATATATATATATATATATATATATATATATATATATATATATATATATATATATATATATATATATATATATATATATATATATATATATATATATATATATATATATTATATCTGCCTAAATCTCCCTGACGCAAAAAAGTCCTGCCGCGCCCATGACAATTAAAAATTAGACATGCACCAACACAATTTAATTACAAGCTTGTTTCTCCTAGTGTTCCCTCAAGGGACCTGCATATTCATACACACACACCACCCACACACACAACCACACACATTTTTATTCCATGTTCAAATCACGTGACAGCGAACAATGGCCGGCTGTAGCTGTCAGTGAGTGGTGTGTGTGTAATTCATTCCCTGCTCAGACCTTCTCGATTGTTCTTGAAGCTTTTGTTTGAAAGCTTTGATCAGTGAATGAAACGTAGACTGAGACGGCATTCTTTCAATCAACCAGTGGCGTACATGAGTTCTATTTTAGAACTGCATGTTGTTTTATTGGGTTAATGATTTATTTAAATCTATTTCTGAATCAGTAGGCCTATATATGTATAATTGTATATGTCAAAAAAAAACTGACGCTATGTTCACTGAGTTGGTTATCTCCCCCCCCCCCCCCCCCATAACCTCATCACCAGAACTGGACAGGCCGTAATTGTGTAGAGCGACATTAATGTCACACCTAGGTATATGCTGGGTAAGATATAGACCTAAAGTGATCGGACAGTGGTGAATAAAGTTGAACCCCCACCCTCACCCCCGTACTGATCTGTTAAGTACATTTGTGAAAACGCGCAATGGGGTACCATGCCGCCGGGCAGGGGGGGGGGGGGGGGGGGGCGGGGTGAACGGAAAAAAGTCACAGAAAAAAAGTCACAAAGGAAAAATTTTATCGGAAAAAAGTCACAGAAATAAAGTCACAGAAAAAAAGTCACAAAAATCTTTTCAGAAATATTTTGATTTATTTGTTGACATTTATAAAATTGTGTATGTTTATTGTTGTGGGTTGTATTTTTTGATAGCATATATTATTAATAGACTTTAAAAGCATTATGGTTTAAAACAATTGTAAGTAAAATACTCTAAGATAATTTACACAACAATCTCAACTTTTGTTAGTATTTAGTTAAATACGCGGTAGAAAAGCTAATTATAAAAGAAATTTAGGCTCATCATTGAGTTTTGCATGTTTTGCCGTAGGCTATTCTCTGGTAGGCCTCTCCTCAGTCGAATATATTGTGTGTTGTGGACGTTTAGTGTCAATGACAGCCTTTGGGGCTTGTCGGCTGTCTGTTTTGATCCTAAGTTTTGTTATGAAATGAGCGTGATAAATGTGGGCAGTAAATGTGGTTGAACTAATCATAACTATTGTTGCGATGAGTTGAGTGTTTAATGTTAGTATTTTAAAAAAACCACAATTCTCGAAAACCGAGGACGTTGGAACATTCTATAAATGCTATCAATATTATCTTTTACATAATTATTTACAATCTACATACTTCATACTAAATATTTTAGATGAATTATAAAAATTACCATGCGAATACAACCTACACACATTACATTACATTAATCCTAAGTTAATTTGCACTCTCTGAATATAAAATTCATAAAAGTATTTACAAATTCCAATCAAATATATATCTGTGACTTTTTTCCTGTGACTTTTTTTTCTGTGGTTTTTTTCCTGTGTTTTTTTTCCCTGTGACTTTTTTTCCTACAATGGGGGGGGGGGGTTAGGTCGTTTATGGGGCTCAAATTCACAAAACTTAAAGAACGTTATTATAAGTTAAGATGACTAGCACGTACAGGTGTACCAACGATAATATACTTAAATACCTCAGGAAAATTAAGTTAAAACATTTTTTAAACGCTGTGGATACGAGTAAAACTGACTATTAAATATGAATAAATATATATATATATGTAACCCTCACTCAGTGGGGATGCTTTTACCCACTGAGGTGTTGTGGTTAAGACGGGCTGACCCTGAGATTAAGAACACACTGACACCGACAGTTGTTGTCAAGTATTCCTTTATTCACAGCATCGAGCCATGACGGCGATGCAACACAGTAGTACGACGATTTCAAAGAGAAAATACTGAAGCAACAGGAAACCAAGAAAACAAAAAAACTGGCCAAGAAAAAACTGTAGCCCTAAAACAAATGTAAACACCACGTGTAGGCTACAATATAAACGGGTACAATAAAATATCTTTCGGCCAGTACACAGTACTGCCAACAAGTACCAATAAGTAGTACTACAAATAAATACTTATATTAATACTCACCCTAACTAGTGTGCACATGCAGCACTAGCAGGAATACACAACTAAGTATTTTAACAAACATAATTTATATAACTACCTTCATTAGGTCTACATTTGGTCACCGTGTTCACAGACAGCAGGCTTGCGTGTGCGACACGACTAGGCATGAAACTACCCACAATCCCATGTCACAAGACATGGGACACAGGTAAAATCGCTCACCAGAGCATGAAAAAAACAACTAAGTCAACAGGGCCACGACCCCACAGGGGCCGCAACTCAATGAATTAAGCTTCATATTTTTCCCTCCCCTGGCTGGTAACCATATGTGTTACATATACATATGATGGAAAAAATTTGCCCCCCCCCCCCCCCCCACACACACACATGAGACGGACCTGGTTACACCACTGGCTTACTGTGAGCGAAAAAAGTCAAGGAAAAAAAGTCACAAACACGTTCTAAGAAATATTTTGATTTACATAAAATTCTGGGTATTTGTAAATTTTGGTGGTTTTTTAAAGAATATATTTATAAACTTTAAAAGCATTGTATTTTTTATAATAATAACTCGACTTCAATCTTCTTAATAAGCAAACATACTATTATATCATTTACATATCAGCCTCAAATTTTTAATACATTTATTTGAATACCCGGTAAAAATCAATTATGAAAGAAATGTAGGCACATCGTTGTGTTTTGTGTTTGTATGTGTGAGTGTGTGTCGTTGGCCACCCTCTGTCAGCCTTGTCCGTCCACATTGTGTGTTGTTGACGTTTTGCTTCAACAACAGCCTGTGCACCATGTCGGGGTTTTGGCTGGACTCTGTGCTTTGTGGTGTAAGGAGGGCGATACATGTGGGCAGTAAAAGTTTCTTCCAGGCATCTCTTCGGGATTGGGGGGGGGGGGCTCTACCCAAAGTTAATGGTCACCACGAAAAGCGATAACCCAGCAACTAAAATGGCGTTACACATCATTCCTACAATCCCTCTCAAAACTGCAATTTTAAAAAAAGTTTTTTTTTTTCCTTCTAAAATGTATAGTTACTGAGTCTGGTCAACATAATGTAGTCCTAGATCGATCAATTTTATCCCAATTTGCAGAAGAAAAAACGTTTGAGAAAATTACGGCTAAATTCAGTATGAAACAAAAATCTGCCTAAGTGACGATTAAGTTCAGCACTAGACGCGCAGTGCGCGTTTTTATTAAACGAAACATACTGTTAGCGGTAGAGAATTAGCTTATTTCACGTTTTACCACCAAATGTTATCTTAGTCGTAATTGTAAACAAACATGTTTCTCCTCTATCATGGTCCTACTAGAATCTAGATCTAGATCTAGTACTACACAGAAAGTTTAAATACTAAATACCTAGATATAGTAGGCCTATTATTAATTACATTAATTTAAATAATAATTAGATCTAAATTGCCTTTTGATATTATCGCTGTCAAGATTAGTTAGTTACTGATCAGTGCGGTCAATCAATAATTATTAATTAATTGATTATTAATTAATAGGCTAATAATTATTTAATATTTAATTATTTAATATTTATTAATTATTCTTTTATCTCTGCAGCTCCCTGTGTGTGTACGTGTACTGAGTGTGTACTTTCACTAGTGAGTACTGTGTAGTGAGTAGTGTGTAGTATTTGCTAATAACTAGATTCTAGTATGGGCTAAAACTAAATTCAATGTTTACAGTTGACATTTTTCTTTAACAACAGCAATTTATATTAAAAATAATTCCTTACAACAATTTTTTTAGCTACAGATGCTAAATAAATAAACACCAGGAGAAAAATGTTGCACCTAATGAAAGTGGGACCCTGTCAGCAAATATTGAGGAAGACAGCACTGCTAGTGTCAGGCTGTACAAGACATGTGCATTGTTCAAAACATTTTTCTACTGTCTTCAAACGTCTCGATAATACAAGTCTAAGATATCACAGTGCCTCTGTCTATGGAGGAGGCATATTAAATAAACTTCGAAAGGTTTTGTCTCACAAACATTTTTTACGTTCAGTGTTCACTTCACAACAAACTGGAACACCAGGGCCGACTCAGCTGACAGATAAAGTCTTCAGTGCTAAGACCCTTATTGAGACTTGGTACTATGAAGTGTGCCCTTATGGAGAGATGAACGTCACTCTGCCATTTAAAACTTTCATTAAGCCTCATGATCAACCAGGCTTGAACAAAGTCAACATTCAGTTTCACTACTATTCAGAAGGTCAAGAAGAAGCCCCTGAGAGTCAGAAATTAAGTCATATTGGTGACTTGTATGACTTAGATGTTCGTTTTGATGAAGATAAAGCTAACATGAATATAACGTGTGACATAACCAAAGGTGTTACATTACCTGTTGTTTGTCTTCTCCGTGTTCCGCTACAGTTGGGTGAGTCATTTTGTTCTGAATGTGTGGTCAGTCTGTAATCATTTTAAATTAATCATTATAGTAGCAGCTAATTCAAGTACATTTATAAATGTGGCTGTTGTTTTATAGCGACACTATTTGTAAGTTACATTCAGCTTTGTTTGAATGTCTTGTCTAATTAACTGTCCGTGTGGCTCTATTGAAGACATTTGTAATCAGCTTTGTTTGAATGTCTTGACAACTACTGTAGATCTGAAAATCAAGATGCTGGATGACAAGGATGTGTCCATAGAAAATATGGACAGCAGTAAGATCGTGATAGAGACAGAGAGAGGAAATTGTTTCCTGAAAAACATTAAGGTTTGTTGGTGCCTGCTTCCATTCCATTAGATAGCCCTGATCATTTCTTTTTTCATGGTTTATTTTTACAGTATTATTATTTAGTTTAAATAACATTTCAAGACAATGTTTTACCTTGTATTGATATAAATTAACATTTTAAGACGTGTTTTACCACATTTTTTAAATTTCTCCTAGTGTGGGTCTGTGAGTGCTGTGTGCAGATCAGGCAACATAACTTGTCTCTCTACCCTACTTGGCAACACGTATTTTCACACTGGAAAATCTGGCGTAAGGTTTCAATCTTACCGTAAATTAAACCATATCATGTTCATTTTTGTATTTAAAAATAAAAAAATTATTTTATAATAATATCAGATAAAGTATTGTGGCAGGGATTAGTTCAAAATGTAGTCAGATTTGACAGATGTTCACAAAAAAGATGAAACATTCAGAATTGACCTGGATAAACATTAGCTCATTACAATACTGATATGTTAGCTTTCTTACTAAAAAAACAGTAAAGTACCCTTTTGAACCTGATGGCCCATGAGGCAGATGAAATAGAGTTCACCTTTTAACAACTTTCCCATGGTGTGGTGTATCACAATTTAACAACTTTCCCATAGTGTGGTGTATCACAATTTAACAACTTTCCCATGGAGAGGTGTATCACAATTTAACAACTTTCCCATGGAGTGGTGTATCACAATTTAACAACTTTCCCATAGTGTGGTGTATCACAATTTAACAACTTTCCCATGGAGTGGTGTACCACAATTTAACAACTTTCCCATGGTGTGGTGTATCACAATTTAACAACTTTCCCATAGTGTGGTGTACCACAATTTAACAACTTTCCCATAGTGTGGTGTATCACAATTTAACAACTTTCCCATAGTGTGGTGTACCACAATTTAACAACTTTCCCATGGTGTGGTGTATCACAATTTAACAACTTTCCCATGGTGTGGTGTATCACAATTTAACAACTTTCCCATGGTGTGAGCACAGAGTATCACAACAGAGAGGCTGCAGGGTTCTAGCATCACATGTGAAACAGAGATGGGCTTCATCAATGTCAGGTCACTCTATGCTGACGATGCCACTTTCAGATCTGATGCCGGAAACTTTCATCTTGGCCATTGCCATGGCCAGCTCTACCTGTTGGCTGGACAGTCAGACATAAACATTGGTTTGTTTCATGTTTACACATTCCTGTTTTTATATAAACATTGGTTTGTTTCATGTTTACACATTCCTATTTTTTATATAAACATTGGTTTGTTTCATGTTTACACATTCCTTTTTTACTTTCTTGTATATACAAAGTATAGAGAAAGTCTTGTAATCGTGCAAAAAAAAAAAAAATTGAGATTTTTACAAATCTCGACGTTTTACATCTCACTGATACGGAAAAACATAATTTTGCAATCTTGTCCGTATGTCTGTGTGTCTATGTGTGTGTGTGTAAACACGATAACTTGAGTACCGTTACAGCTAGCTTGATGAAATTTTATATATAAGTATTTTATCAAAATCGTAGATCCGTATCAACTTTTGAGCGATTTCCAATAACCAGAAGTGGTACTTTTCCTACTTTGAAATTTTCAAAAGCCTATAACTTGAGTACTATTTCAGATAGATAAACGAAATTTCACATGTAAGTAAAAGATCTAATTCTCTACCTTCTGTTAAATTTTGAGTCATTTCCGTTGACCGGAAGTAGTAATTTACGCTACTTCCGATTTCTCAAAAAACTAATGTAAATTTTTAAAGTACTAATAATATTGCGCACTATTATGCACTTTTTTATTTAGCGTTCACTTGGTGTGCAATTCTTTTGTCTACGAGATTTTATTCTATTTTTAAAACTTTAAGTATTTAAAATGGATTAAAAATCATGTCTATAGCCCGAGTTCCCATCCCCTGTTATTTTATATAAAAATATTCGAGGAAGTTTAGGGGAGATCACTCCCGGTTTATTTATATAAACACTGGTTTGTTTCATGTTTACAGTTTGCTATTTAATTTGGCTCGCATAGTCCAATTGTTTGTTTATGGGCTTGTGACAGATGTTGTAACGCAATTTTGACAGACTTCTAATGCAGCAATTTGTTTAAATTTTCCAGATACCTTCTTTGAGGGCAATGCACTTATATCTATTTTTTAATCGAATTAAACGAGTTTGAAACTAAGGGGAGATAATAAGGCTAATTTATCAATTGCTATATTCAATAACAGAGGGAGAGATAACTAGCTAGACATGATCATCTGATGAGCAGAGCTGTGGTTCATGTTGAATGTTGTTTGGTCACGGTTTGTTGCCCAAGTGTCGACCATGTAGAAGGGGCAGTATACTGGGTGGGTTTAAACTATATTCAATAATGAAAAGGGAGAAAACAAGATTAAATACTAGTGATCACATGATCAGCTCTCCGCAGATGGTGAACTGTTGTCACAGTTGACTATGAAGGGGTAAACAACTGTCTTTTAGAGATTGCGAACTAGTAAGCAGGTTTTAACACAATTTAGTCCAAGCCTTTATAGATTTAGTGTCAAATTAATTTAGAACTAATTACTTAAAAGGGAAAAAAACAAAACAAATATAAAAACGTTACAAATTTTATCTACCAAAACTTTTATTAAATAGGAACAAGTTTCTTTTATTTTCTTACTTCCAGCGCATTTAAAAGCTTGTAATTATAATTTTAAAGGTTTTTATATTTGTTTAAAATAAAAATAGGTTTGTTTCATGGTTACATATTTCTATTTTTTATATAAATGTTTGTTACTATTCAATGATTCCTATTTTTATTATTTAACAGAATATTCCCTCAATATTAATTTATACCAGATTATTTCTTAGTTTTTAGATGTCTAATTATTTCTTCATTATTTAGATGACTTAATCAATCATTTTCATTACCAAACATAAAAGAAAGGAATTGGGGTGGATGGAACACACACCCAGTTTTAACAGTAGTTAAAAGTTAACAGTATATTCACAAGATAGGGGTTGGGGGGGGGGGGGGGGGGGGGGAGAAGAGGAGTGATTAAAAGTGTATGGTGGAGATCGTGTGAAAAGTGATGGGGGAGGCTGGATTTTCATTGCTTGAGTAGCCCTGATGTGTGTTTAATGATGAAGTGTCTGTCAATTATCCATGCACAATACTATATCCAGTAATATTTTGTCAACTATCCATACACAATACTATATCCCGTAATATTTTGTCAACTATCCATGCACTATATCCAGTACTATTTTGTCTATCAGAAAGTCTAGATGGAGACATGGATATTGGATTACAATCTGGCAACGTATCCGCACACCTAAGCAGACACCAGAAGGCTAACATTGAAGTGGCCACAGGTGGGGATCCATTTTTTCATCCTCAAATCTACTTTGTATCAACTGTGTCTTGCCACCCACATCAAAAAATTCTTGTCATTTGTGTCCTTGATGATTTCTGACCACATCAAAAAATTCTTGTCAATTGTGTCCTTGATGATTTCTTGACACACCTTGTATTAGCATATTTTTGTAACTAATTTAGAATGGTCTCATTTGTTCTATTCATTGAATTATTTACACAAACCAGAATGAAAACTTTTGTCTTACATAGATGAATTGCCTTAACATGTTTTATACAGATGATATTACCTTAACATTTGTTTTATACGGGTGATATTACCTTAACATTTGTTTTATACAGGTGATATTACCTTAACATTTGTTTTATACAGGTGATATTACCTTAACATTTGTTTTATACAGGTGATATTACCTTAACATTTGTTTTACACAGGTGATATTACCCTTAGTTTTCCTGAAGGAGCCAACACAGATCTGAACTTAGATTGCCAGGCCCTTAGGGTTGACCATGCTATAGACTTGCACTTCTCTGATTCTGATCTGCCCCACCACAAGGAAGGCAAGTCATTATTTCTTCACTCAGTGACCATCTTATGACTAGATGATCATAAGACTGTTCTAGCAAGCCCCTCTAGATGATCATAAGACTGTTCTAGCAAGCCCCTCTAGATGATCATAAGACTGTTCTAGCAAGCCCCTCTAGATGACCATAAGACTGTTCTAGCAAGCCCCTCTAGATGATCATAAGACTGTTCTAGCAAGCCCCTCTAGATGATCATAAGACTGTTCTAGCAAGCCCCTCTAGATGATCATAAGACTGTTCTAGCAAGCCCCTCTAGATGATCATAAGACTGTTCTAGCAAGCCCCTCTAGATGATCATAAGACTGTTCTAGCAAGCCCCTCTAAATGATCATAAGACTGTTCTAGCAAGCCCCTCTAGATGATCATAAGACTGTTCTAGCAAGCCCCTCTAGATGATCATAAGACTGTTCTAGCAAGCCAAGCCCCTCTAGATGATCATAAGACTGTTCTAGCAAGCCAAGCCCCTCTAGATGACCATAAGACTGTTCTAGCAAGCCCCTCTAGATGATCATAAGACTGTTCTAGCAAGCCCCTCTAGATGATCATAAGACTGTTCTAGCAAGCCCCTCTAGATGATCATAAGACTGTTCTAGCAAGCCCCTCTAGGTGATCATAAGACTGTTCTAGCAAGCCCCTCTAGGTGATCATAAGACTGTTCTAGCAAGCCCCTCTAGATGATCATAAGACTGTTCTAGCAAGCCCTTACTTTACAGGTTACATTGGTCGCCAGGGCCAGGCTCTACTCAATGCCAGGACTGTGTCGGGGACCATTAGCCTTAAACAGCTTGATTGGATTTCTGCTACAAAACTCTTTTCATGAACAAGGGGAAATAAAACTTGCTGCCATTTTAGTGATGATTTCTTCTTGTAATTATGCTGTCATTCAAGGAAATTAACATTTTTAAAATTTATAATTTACTGTATAAATATATTCATGAATATTTAGTGCTAATAATAAGTATAAATTGAAAGAGAAAAAAACCTTTTTATTTGCTTAATATATTTGTTATTATGTTTTTCTTTTTAAAAAAATGTCTTTTGTTGACTGTGAAAAGTGTGAATTTTTGTAATAAAATGTAGGATAGGTTTCCTAACTTTCAGTTTTATGTCCATCACTGATGTAGCATTAATCCTGTAATGAGTTGCTTAGTTCTAAACCAATTCATGTACTTGTATAGAGAAATAAACATTAATGTTAAATAAACAGTCAGCTGAGTGATGATGGTTTTTAAAATGACTATCTCACAATTGTTCCAGTTATATTGTATGTTCTTATGTTTAGTTTCTCCTGGGTATTCATCCACTGAATGTCAACATGGAAGATATGCTTGAGGGCGTACAAAATTTATAATGATGATATAATAGTTGCATCAAACATTCTTTAAATTAGAGTGACAATCAAATGATCAGGAATAAAAAGATTTGGATGTTAGACTTTTTTGCATGAACTTTAATATTTACAAAAAAAAATGTGAAGGCCTTCAAGATAACATATACTCTGATAAGGTATCCCTGGATCAAGAACTCCCTGGATCAAGAACTCCCTGGATCAAGAACTCCCTGTATCAAGATATCCCTGGATCAAGATACCCTGGATCAAGATATCCCTGGATCAAGATATCCATGTGTCAAGAGAACATCTCTGTGTCAAGTTAACACATCCCTGTAAGGTTTCTCTGAGTGACCTGGTATGTGCTGCAACTCTCTGAGACCCTGTCAAGAAACAGTGACTGGTGATTGTATACTAACAAAACCTTTGAGACAACAAGCAACAAATGATTCCAACAACAAACTGCAACACAAGCTGTACACATTGATGATCACCACCTGATCTACAGGTAAACAACAGGTGAGTTTCTGAGTTGAGTTTACCTCAAGGACCAGCTTGATGTGTCCCTTGACCCTGCAGGCTTCCTGTGTCAACTCTGACACTCTAGACTGTAAACTTTCAGTTTTCTTATCAATGAACATCACTGCCTCAGGAAATGTCATTTCCAGAAAGAACCCGTATCCAATGGCAACACAGATCATTGATGGATTGGAGCTACAAGTTACAGTAAAGGACAAGTTATAAAACATATACATATATATACATTGAAAAATAACATATTGTGATACAGGAAATATTATAAGACAATGTTTTAAAATACTTTTACACATCCAGTAGCTCTTCATATGGTGGTTTCCATTTAATTTTTTTCACAATTGAGTGTGATCTTTCCTCCCCCCCCCCCCCCCCCTATTTTTCCATCAAATGTTTCTAACTTAAACCTCCAAGTTCAATTGAATTAAAAATATGGAACAGGATTCTACATTTGATTTCTTACACTTACACGTTTGCTTGGACATAAAAGTTGCATCCCAGGTCAACTTTTGTTTTTAATACTACTTCAGGTGTTATCTCCTCCTAAAAAAGCATTCAGTCAATCATTTCAGCTCAAGAAAAGGAAGTTGTAAAAGTTAATGTAATCCTTATAATGAAAAGAACATACAAATAATACAACACAGCTAAAAGGGAATGAGTGAATCAACACAGGTCATGAAACAACAGTGATACTTGTGAGTGAATCAACCCAGGTCATGAAACAACAGTGATACTTGTGTGAGTGAATCAACCCAGGTCATGAAACAACAGTGATACTTGTGAGTGAATCAACCCAGATCATGAAACAACAGTGATACTTGTGTGAGTGAATCAACCCAGGTCATGAAACAACAGTGATACTTGTGAGTGAATCAACCCAGATCATGAAACAACAGTGATACTTGTGTGAGTGAATCAACCCAGATCATGAAACAACAGTGATACTTGTGTGAGTGAATCAACCCAGATCATGAAACAACAGTGATACTTGTGTGAGTGAATCAACCCAGATCATGAAACAACAGTGATACTTGTGTGAGTGAATCAACCCAGGTCATGAAACAACAGTGATACTTGTGTTACAAGGTCATGAAACAAAAGTGATACTTGTGTTACAAGGGATGTAAATGACCTGTATTTTCTCTATAGTTGACTTGAGCTGACAATACTCAGAGATCTCTTCATATATCTTGTCTCGTTGTTCTAGGAGCTTCCTGTAAAACACAAGTATGAAAACCTCAAGCAAATATTTAAAGAATCCCCTATTCCACACATTTTTATGACTTCCTGTAAAACACAAGTATGAAAACCTCAAGCAAATATTTAAAGAATCCCCTATTCCACACATTTTTATGACTTCCTGTAGAACACAAGTATGAAAACCTCAAGCAAATATTTAAAGAATCCCCTAATCCACACATTTTTATGACTTCCTGTAAAACACAAGTATGAAAACCTCAAGCAAATATTTAAAGAATCCCCTATTCCACACATTTTTATGACTTCCTGTAGAACACAAGTATGAAAACCTCAAGCAAATATTTAAAGAATCCCCTATTCCACACATTTTTATGACTTCCTGTAGAACACAAGTATGAAAACCTCAAGCAAATATTTAAAGAATCCCCTATTCCACACATTTTTATGACAAGACTTTTAACAGGAAGAAACCCATGTGTACAAAAATAAGTTGTAATCTATTGAACTTAACTGATACCACTAAAAATAATCAATCAACCATCCCCTCTACTGTATTATTCTACAATTGTGCTCTATTTCAATGCGTTTTTAAAAACAAGTCCAATTTTGTACAGCAAACCTCAAATCTTCTTTTAGTCTATCATTTAGGAAAGTTTCATATTCCAGTATTTTCTCTTCCGTGGATCTCATCCTGATGCCACACTACTGACAATACACAAAGGCTGGAAATAAATAATTGAAATTGATGTTAGGCAGAATATCACCAAATGTAAACTTGAACTTTTAAAATATTAACCTATACGCCAATGACGTATTATATAGGCCATAGGCCTATCGACATATTTATGGTAGACAAGACTTTCTCATTTTCTGCAACACTGAATAACTGAATAGTCAGTAGAATAAGAGCAGATAGTCAAGAGTGGGGTTGCAAAAAATAATTTTTTTTTTATTAGGCCTAGATTAGATCATAGTTCATAGATCTAGAAGATAATTAATACTTAATTAGTAGGCCTAATTAGATCTAATACTTAATAATATAAAATAATAGGCCTAATTAATTAAATTAATAATTAGTTAATAATTAGGCCTAATAATAATAATAATAATAATATTAAGCTGGGGGTATGGTAAGTTGATTTTAATAATAATAATAAATATGAAACCGTGCGGTAAGTAATAAAGTCCAGTGGGGAAAAATAAAATACCAATAATAGGCCTACTAAAAAATAACATAAATAATAAAATACACCGATTTACCATCACAAAATTGTATTGTGTATTAGAATTAGATCTAGAATCTAGATCTAGATCTAGATTAGTTTGTAGTTATTAGACTAGTAAAAAAATAAATATTAGTTCTAACTCTAGAGCTTTGGTTGATCTACACTATTCTACACCATAGCAGTTTAAAATTTACAGGGAGAAAAGTCTGATCAAATCAAATTTAAAAATTTGTCTTAGTTTTTGCATGAAAAAAATATGTCGCCGTATAGCTTTAAACTTAATGTAACTCAATAATTAGTTTAATTAAAATATTTTAAAAGCGTCCAGAATTATTAAGTATGCGTAACAATATAAACACATGGACAATAAAGAAGGACATAGATTATGAATATAAAAATCTATAATCCTCATCCCCCTTGCCTTACCCCACTCTATTCCATTCCAAAAAAAAAAAAATGCATGTGTTCAACTTTTGCATATTTTCGGTTGATACACTTACCAAGCACGGTTTTTCAAAAACTATCACTTAGAAATTTAGATTCATTCAGAAAGAGACAAACGCAAAGTGGCTGAAATTTGTATTTAGCGTGACAGAGAATCTAACAGCAAATAACTTGAATAATTCTTATAATTTTAACACAATGTCTATTGCTCATAAATTTAAAGATAAACTACGAACAGATGATGTCATTATTTCTGAATCTGTCGACTTTTCAAGTCTTCTTCTCTCGAAACCGGTGTTAAAAGGTCTAACCGACGCGGGTTTTCAAAAGCCATCCCCAATCCAGTTGAAAGCTATTCCACTCGGACGTTGTGGTTTGGGTAAATAAAATGGTTAGACTTTAGCCTTTTTAGGGTGTTAGGCCAAACAGTATTCCAGGTAGAACCATATGGCCTATAGATCTAGTATTTATGAGCCCCTAACTATTAGTAGTTTTTCTCACTAAATCTAGAATCTACGCAATTTTCAATTTAAACATGACCACTGAATAATAGACATACATATTTAATCCATAAGCCACTAATTTTGAAGTTTTTAGTTCGTTTTAAACTAAATTACTTAATTTAATATTTATTGACACTCACTGCCATGGCCAACACATCTCTCCATGACAACTCTTCTGACCCTTGAAGGTAAAGAAAACCACAAATGCGATTAGACTTTTTAAGTGGCCATGTACCCAGAGTTCCCCACTAGTGATCATCAAATAGAGGTCACGTGATTTTTAAAATATAAAAAATTTGGTTGTCATTCAAAAGTCGTGTCTTATTTTAAAAAGCGCATGCAATATTTGATTTATTTCTTCATATAATGATAAACCTAATAGTTCTACAACCTCCAATTCATTTTTGTGACCTCCAGGCTGATATTTTAGAAGTTCTATTAATTTTAATGAGACCGACTTTTAAATTTAGCCTTCATTCTCCAAAGCAAATTTTAAAACGCTTTTCTGGCATATTTAGCCTTGCCACTTATGGTTTGTTGTTATGACACGGAAATCCCGCCATTTTGCGCGTGGTAAACATTTTTAAATGTAATTAGTTGAAGGTCTCTGGAATTTGGCCGAAAAATCGCCGAAAATCTAACGTCCGGTCCGGGCGCCATATTGTTGTTAGCAACCGACCACGCCTCCAAGTTAGCGAGAAATACTATACTAACTAACCTAAAAGCCTGGCTGCTACTACTGTTGACTGAATAAATATTATATTATTATGTCATTATGAGCCTAAAAATAAAATATTAAAAAGTATCCTATGCCTATTGCTAAGGCGATTGCCTATCTACTATTACTAAAAAATGATAAAATCACCCCTGCTTCTTATTGTCACTATTCTTACTAAACTAGTACTAGAAATAACTAGATCTACTATACATAACTATAGGCCTACTATTATAATAATATTAATAGCCTAATACTCAATAATTGATAAGCCTCACCACCCTACCCGATAAAAATAAATGATAAATAATTAAAATTGATTGTGTAGCCTACAACTACATGGATGAAAAACTTGTTTTTATATTGATTCCTTGGGGTTGGCATGGTCGAGTCGGTAAAACTCATTGTTGCATAACCGAAATGTCTCAAGTTTGAACCCTCGGGCAGATGAGGCTCGTTAGCTGGGGACAGCTACTCTTCCTTGTAGTTTGTTCTTGGTTGGACAAAACTATGGAAGTAAATCCAAAAAGAAAAGGCTGAAATCTGAGTCAATGGCCTAAAATTAAGAACGAAGAAGAAGAAGATTTATAGTTTTGTGAAAAAAAATAATCTTAAACTACAGTAGCTATTAAGAATGGTGTTCTAATTATAATACTCAAGAAAGAATTAGAAAAGTATAGCCCTATTTATAATTTATTGTATAATCTTTATCTTAACAGATCTTATTGTGCAAGCTAAATCTGGCACTGGAAAGACATGTGTCTTCACAGTTGTGGCCCTAGAAAGTTTGGAGCTAAGTCCTGTCTGCATACAAGTATGTTTTTATAGCTCATCTTATAAACATGGCATTCTTGCATTAATAATTGAACTTGTCTTAAGATCTTAAATAATGTATACCATTTTTCTTCTCATTGTTTTAGTAGACCTGCAGACCCAGATGAATTGCTCATCTTATTAAGATGGTTTTCATGTATAAGTAGTTTCACTAGTCAGAAAACTATTTTTAAAAATGTACACCTTTCCTCTTGTTTTAGGTTTTAGTTCTGGCACCAACCAGAGAAATAGCACAGCAGATTCAAGAAGTCATAAAAACTATTGGCTTGCCAATGGCTGGTCTAAAATGTCACACCTTTATTGGTGGCATGCCAGTGCTGCAGGATAAAATTCTGGCCAAAAACTGTCATATTGCAGTTGGAACACCAGGTTAGAGAAAAAAATTTTTTAAGCTGACACTAGATTTTTTACATTCTTTCAATTGTGTGTCCTCATGTGCTCAAATTGATTTCTACCTCACGTTAGTTTTTTAAAATTCTTTAAATAATGTGCACCCACATATTCTTGCTTCAGGTAGAATAAAACAGCTGATAGAAATTGATGCTATAAAAACAAATAGCATTAGACTTTTTATTCTTGATGAAGCAGACAAACTTCTGGAGGGAGATTTCCAAGAACCTATCAAGTAATGTTCATACTTTATGTGTAGTCATGCCGCTTGTAATGTTCATACTTTATGTGTAGTCATGCCGCTTGTAATGTTCATACTTTATGTGTAGTCATGCCGCTTGTAATGTTCATACTTTATGTGTAGTCATGCCGCTTGTAATGTTCATACTTTATGTGTAGTCATGCCGCTTGTAATGTTCATACTTTATGTGTAGTCATGCCGCTTGTAATGTTCATACTTTATGTGTAGTCATGCCGCTTGTAATGTTCATACTTTATGTGTAGTCATGCCGCTTGTAATGTTCATACTTTATGTGTAGTCATGCTGCTTGTAATGTTCATACTTTATGTGTAGTCATGCAGATTTTAAAATAAATAAATTTACCTAAAAAAGAATGCATTTGCTGATTTTTAATTATAAATTAATAGCTGTAGGACTATATATTCAGATAAATGTAAAATAGTAAAGAGCTTATGGTAATTAAAAAAAATTGAATCAACAGCTGGATATATTCAAGTTTACCTGAAAACAAACAAATTCTGGCACTATCAGCCACCTATCCAGAGTATTTGGCGCGACAATTGACATCTTATATGAGAAATCCAACATTTGTTCGTCTCAATGTTACAGATCCAGCATTATTAGGTAAGTTTAAATTAATTTATTTGGCATCACATTGTAATTTGAAAGTGATAACAAGCTCATACAAAGTGCTCCGATTATAATACTTGACTGAATGTCTGCAGGTATAAAGCAGTATCATGTTGTTGTGCCTAACCACCCCATGCCAAACATTGTTTTCAATTCTAAAACTGAAGTGGTTGTTAAAATACTTTCTACTGTGAGCTTCCAGCAGTGCCTCATCTTCTCAAATCTACAGACCAGGTACAGTCTTTAGATAGTAAAATTATCCATTTCCCAAGACTTTTCTGTGGGTGTGGAATGCTAAAGACATGGTTTTTGTTGTTGCAGAGCCCAAAATCTCCAGTCAGAACTGCAGTCGAGGAACTGGCCAACAGCTTGTATTGCAGGCTGCTTGGATCAGAAGGAAAGGAATTTTGCTATGGAGCAGCTCAAGACATACAAGTGTCGCATCTTGATCTCAACTGATTTGGTACATATAACTTTATCAAGTTTCCTGAAGCCGGGTTGGAACCAGGCATTGTTAAATAAATTGAAATTTATCCCTTTGCAGGCCAATGCGCCCACGGGTGCCCGAAAAATTGTTAGTGTGGTACAGCCTGGTGTGCCCGCGGGCGCCCTACTATGTATATTATGTTTATTTATGCGTAGTAGCGGAAATCTCGTTGTACGAGATTTTGAAGATACCGCCAGAAGCGAGAAATAATAAGTTTAACCAGCACTGACAACTGATGGATGATTTTTTGTGTGCTGACAACTTATTTTTTTTTTTAGACGTCTAGGGGTATTGATGCTGACAACTTATTTTTTTGTTAGACGTCTAGGGGTATTGATGCTGACAACTTTTTTTTTTTTTAGACGTCTAGGGGTATTGATGCTGACAACTTATTTTTTTTTAAGACGTCTAGGGGTATTGATGCTGACAACTTATTTTTTTGTTAGACGTCTAGGGGTATTGATGCTGACAACTTTTTTTTTTTTTAGACGTCTAGGGGTATTGATGCTGACAACTTATTTTTTTTTAAGACGTCTAGGGGTATTGATGCTGACAACTTATTTTTTTGTTAGACGTCTAGGGGTATTGATGCTGACAACTTATTTTTTTTTAAGACGTCTAGGGGTATTGATGCTGACAACTTATTTTTTTGTTAGACGTCTAGGGGCATTGATGCTGACAACTTATTTTTTTGTTAGACGTCTAGGGGCATTGATGCTGACAACTTATTTTTTTGTTAGACGTCTAGGGGCATTGATGCTGACAACTTATTTTTTTGTTAGACGTCTAGGGGTATTGATGCTGACAACTTATTTTTTTGTTAGACGTCTAGGGGTATTGATGCTGACAACTTATTTTTTTGTTAGACGTCTAGGGGTATTGATGCTGACAACTTATTTTTTTGTTAGACGTCTAGGGGTATTGATGCTGACAACTTATTTTTTTGTTAGACGTCTAGGGGTATTGATGCTGACAACTTATTTTTTTGTTAGACGTCTAGGGGTATTGATGCTGACAACTTATTTTTTTGTTAGACGTCTAGGGGTATTGATGCTGACAACTTATTTTTTAGACGTCTAGGGGTATTGATGCTGACAACTTATTTTTTTGTTAGACGTCTAGGGGTATTGATGCTGACAAGGTAAACCTGGTGATCAACCTGGACGTCCCAACAGATGCTGAAACCTACCTACACAGGATTGGCAGGGCTGGGCGTTTTGGTCAGTTGCTGTAGTCTAGTGTGTTGTGGTCAGTGGCTGTAGTCTAGTGTGTTTTGGTCAGTTGATGTAGTCTAGTGTGTTGTGGTCAGTTGCTGTAGTCTAGTGTGTTGTGGTCAGTTGCTGTAGTCTAGTGTGTTGTGGTCAGTTGCTGTAGTCTAGTGTGTTGTGGTCAGTTGCTGTAGTCTAGTGTGTTGTGGTCAGTTGCTGTAGTCTAGTGTGTTTCAGTCAGTTGATGTAGTCTAGTGTGTTGTGGTCAGTGGCTGTAGTCTAGTGTGTTGTGGTCAGTGGCTGTAGTCTAGTGTGTTTTGGTCAGTGGCTGTAGTCTAGTGTGTTGTGGTCAGTGGCTGTAGTCTAGTGTGTTTTGGTCAGTGGCTGTAGTCTAGTGTGTTGTGGTCAGTGGCTGTAGTCTAGTGTGTTGTGGTCAGTTGCTGTAGTCCAGTGTGTTGTGGTCAGTGGCTGTAGTCTAGTGTGTTGTGGTCAGTGGCTGTAGTCTAGTGTGTTTTGGTCAGTGGCTGTAGTCTAGTGTGTTGTGGTCAGTGGCTGTAGTCTAGTGTGTTTTGGTCAGTGGCTGTAGTCTAGTGTGTTGTGGTCAGTTGCTGTAGTCTAGTGTGTTTTGGTCAGTTGCTGTAGTCTAGTGTGTTGTGGTCAGTTGCTGTAGTCTAGTGTGTTGTGGTCAGTTGCTGTAGTCTAGTGTGTTGTGGTCAGTTGCTGTAGTCTAGTGTGTTGTGGTCAGTTGCTGTAGTCTAGTGTGTTGTGGTCAGTGGCTGTAGTCTAGTGTGTTTTGGTCAGTTGATGTAGTCTAGTGTGTTGTGGTCAGTTGCTGTAGTCTAGTGTGTTTTGGTCAGTTGCTGTAGTCTAGTGTGTTGTGGTCAGTGGCTGTAGTCTAGTGTGTTTTGGTCAGTGGCTGTAGTCTAGTGTGTTTTGGTCAGTTGATGTAGTCTAGTGTGTTTTGGTCAGTTGATGTAGTCTAGTGTGTTTTGGTCAGTTGATGTAGTCTAGTGTGTTTTGGTCAGTTGCTGTAGTCTAGTGTGTTTTGGTCAGTGGCTGTAGTCTAGTGTGTTGTGGTCAGTTGCTGTAGTCTAGTGTGTTGTGGTCAGTGGCTGTAGTCTAGTGTGTTTTGGTCAGTTGATGTAGTCTAGTGTGTTTTGGTCAGTTGCTGTAGTCTAGTGTGTTGTGGTCAGTGGCTGTAGGCTAGTGTGTTGTGGTCAGTGGCTGTAGTCTAGTGTGTTGTGGTCAGTGGCTGTAGTCTAGTGTGTTTTGGTCAGTGGCTGTAGTCTAGTGTGTTGTGGTCAGTGGCTGTAGTCTAGTGTGTTTTGGTCAGTGGCTGTAGTCTAGTGTGTTGTGGTCAGTGGCTGTAGTCTAGTGTGTTGTGGTCAGTTGCTGTAGTCCAGTGTGTTGTGGTCAGTGGCTGTAGTCTAGTGTGTTGTGGTCAGTGGCTGTAGTCTAGTGTGTTTTGGTCAGTGGCTGTAGTCTAGTGTGTTGTGGTCAGTGGCTGTAGTCTAGTGTGTTTTGGTCAGTGGCTGTAGTCTAGTGTGTTGTGGTCAGTTGCTGTAGTCTAGTGTGTTTTGGTCAGTTGCTGTAGTCTAGTGTGTTGTGGTCAGTTGCTGTAGTCTAGTGTGTTGTGGTCAGTTGCTGTAGTCTAGTGTGTTGTGGTCAGTTGCTGTAGTCTAGTGTGTTGTGGTCAGTGGCTGTAGTCTAGTGTGTTTTGGTCAGTTGATGTAGTCTAGTGTGTTGTGGTCAGTTGCTGTAGTCTAGTGTGTTTTGGTCAGTTGCTGTAGTCTAGTGTGTTGTGGTCAGTGGCTGTAGTCTAGTGTGTTTTGGTCAGTGGCTGTAGTCTAGTGTGTTTTGGTCAGTTGATGTAGTCTAGTGTGTTTTGGTCAGTTGATGTAGTCTAGTGTGTTTTGGTCAGTTGATGTAGTCTAGTGTGTTTTGGTCAGTTGCTGTAGTCTAGTGTGTTTTGGTCAGTGGCTGTAGTCTAGTGTGTTGTGGTCAGTTGCTGTAGTCTAGTGTGTTGTGGTCAGTTGCTGTAGTCTAGTGTGTTTTGGTCAGTGGCTGTAGTCTAGTGTGTTTTGGTCAGTTGATGTAGTCTAGTGTGTTTTGGTCAGTTGCTGTAGTCTAGTGTGTTGTGGTCAGTGGCTGTAGGCTAGTGTGTTGTGGTCAGTTGCTGTAGTCTAGTGTGTTGTGGTCAGTTGCTGTAGTCTAGTGTGTTGTGGTCAGTTGCTGTAGTCTAGTGTGTTGTGGTCAGTTGCTGTAGTCTAGTGTGTTTCAGTCAGTTGCTGTAGTCTAGTGTGTTTTGGTCAGTTGCTGTAGTCTAGTGTGTTTTGGTCAGTTGCTGTAGTCTAGTGTGTTTTGGTCAGTTGCTGTAGTCTAGTGTGTTTCGGTCAGTTGCTGTAGGCTAGTGTGTTTCAGTCAGTTGCTGTAGTCTAGTGTGTTGTGGTCAGTGGCTGTAGTCTAGTGTGTTTTGGTCAGTTGCTGTAGTCTAGTGTGTTGTGGTCAGTTGCTGTAGTCTAGTGTGTTGTGGTCAGTTGCTGTAGTCTAGTGTGTTGTGGTCAGTTGCTGTAGTCTAGTGTGTTGTGGTCAGTTGCTGTAGTCTAGTGTGTTGTGGTCAGTGGCTGTAGTCTAGTGTGTTTTGGTCAGTTGATGTAGTCTAGTGTGTTGTGGTCAGTTGCTGTAGTCTAGTGTGTTTTGGTCAGTTGCTGTAGTCTAGTGTGTTGTGGTCAGTGGCTGTAGTCTAGTGTGTTTTGGTCAGTGGCTGTAGTCTAGTGTGTTTTGGTCAGTTGATGTAGTCTAGTGTGTTTTGGTCAGTTGATGTAGTCTAGTGTGTTTTGGTCAGTTGATGTAGTCTAGTGTGTTTCAGTCAGTTGCTGTAGTCTAGTGTGTTTCAGTCAGTTGATGTAGTCTAGTGTGTTGTGGTCAGTGGCTGTAGTCTAGTGTGTTTTGGTCAGTGGCTGTAGTCTAGTGTGTTGTGGTCAGTTGCTGTAGTCTAGTGTGTTGTGGTCAGTTGCTGTAGTCTAGTGTGTTGTGGTCAGTGGCTGTAGTCTAGTGTGTTTTGGTCAGTTGCTGTAGTCTAGTGTGTTTTGGTCAGTGGCTGTAGTCTAGTGTGTTGTGGTCAGTTGCTGTAGTCTAGTGTGTTGTGGTCAGTTGCTGTAGTCTAGTGTGTTGTGGTCAGTTGCTGTAGTCTAGTGTGTTGTGGTCAGTTGCTGTAGTCTAGTGTGTTTTGGTCAGTTGCTGTAGTCTAGTGTGTTTTGGTCAGTTGCTGTAGTCTAGTGTGTTGTGGTCAGTTGATGTAGTCTAGTGTGTTGTGGTCAGTTGCTGTAGTCTAGTGTGTTGTGGTCAGTTGCTGTAGTCTAGTGTGTTGTGGTCAGTTGCTGTAGTCTAGTGTGTTGTGGTCAGTTGCTGTAGTCTAGTGTGTTTTGGTCAGTTGCTGTAGTCTAGTGTGTTTTGGTCAGTTGCTGTAGTCTAGTGTGTTGTGGTCAGTTGATGTAGTCTAGTGTGTTTTGGTCAGTGGCTGTAGTCTAGTGTGTTTCAGTCAGTTGCTGTAGTCTAGTGTGTTTTGGTCAGTTGCTGTAGTCTAGTGTGTTTTGGTCAGTTGCTGTAGTCTAGTGTGTTTTGGTCAGTTGCTGTAGTCTAGTGTGTTGTGGTCAGTGGCTGTAGTCTAGTGTGTTGTGGTCAGTGGCTGTAGTCCAGTGTGTTGTGGTCAGTGGCTGTAGTCTAGTGTGTTGTGGTCAGTGGCTGTAGTCTAGTGTGTTTTGGTCAGTTGATGTAGTCTAGCGTGTTATGGTCAGTTGCTGTAGTCTAGTGTGTTTTGGTCAGTGGCTGTAGTCTAGTGTGTTGTGGTCAGTTGCTGTAGTCTAGTGTGTTGTGGTCAGTTGCTGTAGTCTAGTGTGTTTTGGTCAGTTGCTGTAGTCTAGTGTGTTGTGGTCAGTGGCTGTAGTCTAGTGTGTTTTGGTCAGTTGATGTAGTCTAGTGTGTTGTGGTCAGTTGCTGTAGTCTAGTGTGTTTTGGTCAGTTGCTGTAGTCTAGTGTGTTGTGGTCAGTGGCTGTAGTCTAGTGTGTTTCAGTCAGTGGCTGTAGTCTAGTGTGTTTTGGTCAGTTGATGTAGTCTAGTGTGTTTTGGTCAGTTGATGTAGTCTAGTGTGTTTTGGTCAGTTGATGTAGTCTAGTGTGTTTTGGTCAGTTGCTGTAGTCTAGTGTGTTTTGGTCAGTGGCTGTAGTCTAGTGTGTTGTGGTCAGTTGCTGTAGTCTAGTGTGTTGTGGTCAGTGGCTGTAGTCTAGTGTGTTTTGGTCAGTTGATGTAGTCTAGTGTGTTTTGGTCAGTTGCTGTAGTCTAGTGTGTTGTGGTCAGTGGCTGTAGGCTAGTGTGTTGTGGTCAGTGGCTGTAGTCTAGTGTGTTGTGGTCAGTGGCTGTAGTCTAGTGTGTTTTGGTCAGTGGCTGTAGTCTAGTGTGTTGTGGTCAGTGGCTGTAGTCTAGTGTGTTTTGGTCAGTGGCTGTAGTCTAGTGTGTTGTGGTCAGTGGCTGTAGTCTAGTGTGTTGTGGTCAGTTGCTGTAGTCCAGTGTGTTGTGGTCAGTGGCTGTAGTCTAGTGTGTTGTGGTCAGTGGCTGTAGTCTAGTGTGTTTTGGTCAGTGGCTGTAGTCTAGTGTGTTGTGGTCAGTGGCTGTAGTCTAGTGTGTTTTGGTCAGTGGCTGTAGTCTAGTGTGTTGTGGTCAGTTGCTGTAGTCTAGTGTGTTTTGGTCAGTTGCTGTAGTCTAGTGTGTTGTGGTCAGTTGCTGTAGTCTAGTGTGTTGTGGTCAGTTGCTGTAGTCTAGTGTGTTGTGGTCAGTTGCTGTAGTCTAGTGTGTTGTGGTCAGTTGCTGTAGTCTAGTGTGTTGTGGTCAGTGGCTGTAGTCTAGTGTGTTTTGGTCAGTTGATGTAGTCTAGTGTGTTGTGGTCAGTTGCTGTAGTCTAGTGTGTTTTGGTCAGTTGCTGTAGTCTAGTGTGTTGTGGTCAGTGGCTGTAGTCTAGTGTGTTTTGGTCAGTGGCTGTAGTCTAGTGTGTTTTGGTCAGTTGATGTAGTCTAGTGTGTTTTGGTCAGTTGATGTAGTCTAGTGTGTTTTGGTCAGTTGCTGTAGTCTAGTGTGTTTTGGTCAGTGGCTGTAGTCTAGTGTGTTGTGGTCAGTTGCTGTAGTCTAGTGTGTTGTGGTCAGTTGCTGTAGTCTAGTGTGTTTTGGTCAGTGGCTGTAGTCTAGTGTGTTTTGGTCAGTTGATGTAGTCTAGTGTGTTTTGGTCAGTTGCTGTAGTCTAGTGTGTTGTGGTCAGTGGCTGTAGGCTAGTGTGTTGTGGTCAGTTGCTGTAGTCTAGTGTGTTGTGGTCAGTTGCTGTAGTCTAGTGTGTTGTGGTCAGTTGCTGTAGTCTAGTGTGTTGTGGTCAGTTGCTGTAGTCTAGTGTGTTTCAGTCAGTTGCTGTAGTCTAGTGTGTTTTGGTCAGTTGCTGTAGTCTAGTGTGTTTTGGTCAGTTGCTGTAGTCTAGTGTGTTTTGGTCAGTTGATGTAGTCTAGTGTGTTTTGGTCAGTTGATGTAGTCTAGTGTGTTTCAGTCAGTTGCTGTAGTCTAGTGTGTTTCAGTCAGTTGATGTAGTCTAGTGTGTTGTGGTCAGTGGCTGTAGTCTAGTGTGTTTTGGTCAGTGGCTGTAGTCTAGTGTGTTGTGGTCAGTTGCTGTAGTCTAGTGTGTTGTGGTCAGTTGCTGTAGTCTAGTGTGTTGTGGTCAGTGGCTGTAGTCTAGTGTGTTTTGGTCAGTTGCTGTAGTCTAGTGTGTTTTGGTCAGTGGCTGTAGTCTAGTGTGTTGTGGTCAGTTGCTGTAGTCTAGTGTGTTGTGGTCAGTTGCTGTAGTCTAGTGTGTTGTGGTCAGTTGCTGTAGTCTAGTGTGTTTTGGTCAGTTGATGTAGTCTAGTGTGTTTTGGTCAGTGGCTGTAGGCTAGTGTGTTGTGGTCAGTTGCTGTAGTCTAGTGTGTTGTGGTCAGTGGCTGTAGTCTAGTGTGTTTTGGTCAGTGGCTGTAGTCTAGTGTGTTTTGGTCAGTTGATGTAGTCTAGTGTGTTTTGGTCAGTTGCTGTAGTCTAGTGTTTTGTGGTCAGTGGCTGTAGGCTAGTGTGTTGTGGTCAGTTGCTGTAGTCTAGTGTGTTGTGGTCAGTTGCTGTAGTCTAGTGTGTTGTGGTCAGTTGCTGTAGTCTAGTGTGTTGTGGTCAGTTGCTGTAGTCTAGTGTGTTTTGGTCAGTTGCTGTAGTCTAGTGTGTTTTGGTCAGTTGCTGTAGTCTAGTGTGTTGTGGTCAGTTGATGTAGTCTAGTGTGTTTTGGTCAGTGGCTGTAGTCTAGTGTGTTTCAGTCAGTTGCTGTAGTCTAGTGTGTTTTGGTCAGTTGCTGTAGTCTAGTGTGTTTTGGTCAGTTGCTGTAGTCTAGTGTGTTTTGGTCAGTTGCTGTAGTCTAGTCTGTTGTGGTCAGTGGCTGTAGTCTAGTGTGTTGTGGTCAGTGGCTGTAGTCCAGTGTGTTGTGGTCAGTGGCTGTAGTCTAGTGTGTTGTGGTCAGTGGCTGTAGTCTAGTGTGTTTTGGTCAGTGGCTGTAGTCTAGTGTGTTGTGGTCAGTTGCTGTAGTCTAGTGTGTTGTGGTCAGTTGCTGTAGTCTAGTGTGTTTTGGTCAGTTGATGTAGTCTAGTGTGTTTTGGTCAGTGGCTGTAGTCTAGTGTGTTTTGGTCAGTGGCTGTAGTCTAGTGTGTTGTGGTCAGTGGCTGTAGGCTAGTGTGTTGTGGTCAGTTGCTGTAGTCTAGTGTGTTGTGCTCAGTTGCTGTAGTCTAGTGTGTTGTGGTCAGTTGCTGTAGTCTAGTGTGTTTTGGTCAGTGGCTGTAGTCTAGTGTGTTGTGGTCAGTTGCTGTAGTCTAGTGTGTTGTGGTCAGTTGCTGTAGTCTAGTGTGTTGTGGTCAGTTGCTGTAGTCTAGTGTGTTTCAGTCAGTTGATGTAGTCTAGTGTGTTGTGGTCAGTGGCTGTAGTCTAGTGTGTTGTGGTCAGTGGCTGTAGTCTAGTGTGTTTTGGTCAGTGGCTGTAGTCTAGTGTGTTGTGGTCAGTGGCTGTAGTCTAGTGTGTTTTGGTCAGTGGCTGTAGTCTAGTGTGTTTTGGTCAGTGGCTGTAGTCTAGTGTGTTGTGGTCAGTGGCTGTAGTCTAGTGTGTTGTGGTCAGTTGCTGTAGTCTAGTGTGTTTTGGTCAGTTGATGTAGTCTAGTGTGTTGTGGTCAGTTGCTGTAGTCTAGTGTGTTTTGGTCAGTTGATGTAGTCTAGTGTGTTTCAGTCAGTTGCTGTAGTCTAGTGTGTTTTGGTCAGTGGCTGTAGTCTAGTGTGTTTCAGTCAGTTGATGTTGTCTAGTGTGTTTCAGTCAGTTGCTGTAGTCTAGTGTGTTGTGGTCAGTGGCTGTAGTCTAGTGTGTTGTGGTCAGTGGCTGTAGTCTAGTGTGTTTTGGTCAGTGGCTGTAGTCTAGTGTGTTTTGGTCAGTTGATGTAGTCTAGTGTGTTTTGGTCAGTTGCTGTAGGCTAGTGTGTTTTGGTCAGTGGCTGTAGTCTAGTGTGTTGTGGTCAGTTGATGTAGTCTAGTGTGTTTTGGTCAGTGGCTGTAGTCTAGTGTGTTTTGGTCAGTTGCTGTAGTCTAGTGTGTTGTGGTCAGTTGCTGTAGTCTAGTGTGTTGTGGTCAGTGGCTGTAGTCTAGTGTGTTTCAGTCAGTTGCTGTAGTCTAGTGTGTTGTGGTCAGTGGCTGTAGTCTAGTGTGTTTTGGTCAGTGGCTGTAGTCTAGTGTGTTTTGGTCAGTTGCTGTAGGCTAGTGTGTTTTGGTCAGTGGCTGTAGTCTAGTGTGTTGTGGTCAGTGGCTGTAGTCCAGTGTGTTGTGGTCAGTGGCTGTAGTCTAGTGTGTTTTGGTCAGTTGATGTAGTCTAGTGTGTTGTGGTCAGTGGCTGTAGTCTAGTGTGTTTCAGTCAGTTGCTGTAGTCTAGTGTGTTGTGGTCAGTGGCTGTAGTCTAGTGTGTTTTGGTCAGTGGCTGTAGTCTAGTGTGTTGTGGTCAGTTGCTGTAGTCTAGTGTGTTGTGGTCAGTGGCTGTAGTCTAGTGTGTTTTGGTCAGTTGATGTAGTCTAGTGTGTTTTGGTCAGTTGATGTAGTCTAGTGTGTTTTGGTCAGTTGCTGTAGTCTAGTGTGTTGTGGTCAGTTGCTGTAGTCTAGTGTGTTTTGGTCAGTTGCTGTAGTCTAGTGTGTTGTGGTCAGTTGCTGTAGTCTAGTGTGTTGTGGTCAGTTGCTGTAGTCTAGTGTGTTTTGGTCAGCTGCTGTAGTCTAGTGTGTTGTGGTCAGTTGCTGTAGTCTAGTGTGTTTTGGTCAGTGGCTGTAGTCTAGTGTGTTTCAGTCAGTGGCTGTAGTCTAGTGTGTTTTGGTCAGTTGATGTAGTCTAGTGTGTTTTGGTCAGTTGCTGTAGTCTAGTGTGTTGTGGTCAGTTGCTGTAGTCTAGTGTGTTGTGGTCAGTTGCTGTAGTCTAGTGTGTTTTGGTCAGTTGATGTAGTCTAGTGTGTTGTGGTCAGTGGCTGTAGTCTAGTGTGTTTTGGTCAGTTGCTGTAGTCTAGTGTGTTGTGGTCATATTCTATTTTATCGTATTATGTCATTTACTAGGAACTTGCCCCCTGTATGTGAATTCTCAAAAAACTATCAGTTGTGTCACAGACTTGCCTACCATTTCTTGAGTCTCTTTTTTTAATCACTGGCAATGCTAGTCCAACTCTTACTGTTAGAGAAAGTTTAGGGGGGATTACTCCCACTTTTTTAAAATAGATATTTTGTTATATTACATATGTGATTTATTTACTAAAGATGTGTGCACTCCCCTGTGTGGTATTGTTTTAGACACAGTTAAACATGTTTCCCACAGGAAGTTTTGGAGCAGCAGTTACCATAGTAACAAGTGAAGGTCAAGACAAAGTTTTGTGGGCCATAGAGAAGAAATGTAAAACTTGTATACACAAGCTCCCAGGTTAGAACTGGTGTCTATTCATTGACCCATGCTAGATTTGAAAAGAAAATAGATTTAGATTGGATGTATTTGATGTCTTTATACAAATCAAATGATTTTATTTCAGATCCTATACCTAAAGATTTGGTTACTAAGTCATTGCCTCTCAGGCTGGATGATATTGTGGTTACAGAACAAATTATGACCCATCCATTGAGCAACACCATAGTTGATGGTACACCTTCAGTTGTTACACAGTGTGAAAGGACTGCCCAAATACTGTCATCAGATTGTGTTGATGGTACGCCTTCAGTTGTTACACAGTGTGAAAGGACTGCCCAATTATTGTCATCAGATTGTGTTGATGGTATGCCTTCAGTTGTTACACAGTGTGAAAGGACTGCCCAAATATTGTCATCAGATTGTGTTGATGGTATGCCTTCAGTTGTTACAAAGTGTGAAAGGACTGCCCAAATATTGTCATCAGATTGTGTTGATGGTATGCCTTCAGTTGTTACACAGTGTGAAAGGACTGCCCAAATATTGTCATCAGATTGTGTTGATGGTATGCCTTCAGTTGTTACACAGTGTGAAAGGACTGCCCAAATATTGTCATCAGATTGTGTTGATGGTACGCCCTCAGTTGTTACAAAGTGTGAAAGGACTGCCCAAATACTGTCATCAGATTGTACAACAGTTGCAGGCCAACAGTGTAACGGCAATGCTGATGTGTGTACATTCTATGTGGACAGGGAGGTGACACCACAAAACAGCGCAGATATCAACACATTGACTGCCTCTCTCACACCAATACAGGGTCATACATCAGAAGCCAGGACTAACACAAATACAGTAGAAAGTTTACAGCCCATTGTAGCAGAACTTAGTGAAACACCTGTGGTAGTGGAAAGTGAACCACCTGTGGTAGTAGAAAGTGAACCACCTGTGGTAGTAGGAAGTGAAACACCTGTGGTAGTAGGAAGTGAAACACCTGTGGCAGTAGAAAGTGAAACACCTGTGGTAGTAGAAAGTGAAACACCTGTGGTAGAAGAACTTAGTGAAATGCCTGTGGTAGTAGAAAGTGAAGCACCTGTGGTAGCAGAAAGTGAAACACCTGTGGTAGCAGAAAGTGAACCACCTGTGGTAGCAGAAAGTGAACCACCTGTGGTAGTAGAAAGTGAAACACCTGTGGTAGTAGAAAGTGAAACACCTGTGGTAGTAGAAAGTGAAACACCTGTGGTAGCTCAAAGTTTGAGTTCTGACAGAAGAAATGACACAGAGCAAAGTGAATCAGCCCAGCTGACAAGAAAAAAAAATGCCTTGTCACAAGTAAAATGTGTCACAGCCTTTATTGAAAACATGTCACAAGTCATTTTGACAGAAGTTGTGGAGATGAATTCTGAAGCTGTCAATCACAACACAGAGACGGGTCTTGTCAGTGACAGTACTGAGGCGGGTCTTGTCAGTGACAGTACTGAGGCGGGTCTTGTCAGTGACAGTACTGAGGCGGGTCTTGTCAGTGACAGCACAGAGGAGGGCCTTTTAATTAACCATCATAAAAGCCCAGTTGACAGAGTTAGTGCAGCAGGGATTGTTGTGTTGGTACAAGAAACTCAAGTGTTAAGAAGAAGGGCTTCTACAGAATGTGGGGGTGAGACTCAGGTGACAGAAGGTGGCACAGAATGTGGAGGTGAGACTCAGGTGAGAGAAGGTGGCACAGAATGTGGAGGTGAGACTCAGGTGACAGAAGGTGGCACAGAATGTGGAGGTGAGACTCAGGTGACAGAAGGTGGCACAGAATGTGGAGGTGAGACTCAGGTGAGAGAAGGTGGCACAGAATGTGGAGGTGAGACTCAGGTGACAGAAGGTGGCACAGAATGTGGAGGTGAGACTCAGGTGAGAGAAGGTGGCACAGAATGTGGAGGTGAGACTCAGGTGACAGAAGCTGGCACAGAATGTGGAGGTGAGACTCAGGTGAGAGAAGGTGAAATAAGCTGCAACTTAGCTCCTGATGGACTGGTGCCTAAAGCCAGAGCTAAACCCAGGCAGAGAAGGGGAGCACCCAGGTCCTTTGCTGTGTCTGACTTCCTGCACTGCATGAATGAAGGTCTCAGCTCCTTCAGGACAATGGACCTTGGGGGAGGGGGAGATAGGATAGAGAAGATGGACACAGTGGGGGCTGGCAGAGCACCTGGTCTAGCACCAGGTGCTGGAGGATCAGAAGACTCACCTGCAGCATGCTCAGGGAATGGGGCAGGTGCTTGTAGTTTACTTGAGAGGACAGAAGCTTCATTGAAGACTGCATGTGAAGCTGATGTTCTGATGGAAACTGATCTAATAAGTTTAGTCAGTTCAGTAGGTCCCAGCAAGGCAGACACCAATGACCTAACAGTCAGTCCAGTAGGTCCCAGCAAGGCAGACACCAATGACCTAACAGTCAGTCCAGTAGGTCCCAGCAAGGCAGACACCAATGACCTAACAGTCAGTCCAGTAGGTCCCAGCAAGGCAGACACCAATGACCTAACAGTCAGTCCAGTAGGTCCCAGCAAGGCAGACACCAATGACCTAACAGTCAGTCCAGTAGGTCCCAGCAAGGCAGACACCAATGACCTAACAGTCAGTCCATCAGTCAGTGACCATGTATGGGCCACACTGAATGTGCTGTTGTCCCAAGGCAGGAGTCCCATGAGCACATTTGATGAGGTGGTGGATGACTACACACAGTTCTGTGCCAGCTACCTCACAAAAGATGATGCTTGTGCAACTTTTGAAGTTGGGAAAAGTTTAGAAAAGGATGAGATACTAGAGGGCCCTGGATATCAAGACTTGTGTCATTTTTACAGTGGAAAACTTGCAAGAATCAAATCAGAGTTTGAAGAGAAGCTGACTATGGCTCACCACAACAGTCAAGTCAAGGACCAGGTGACGACTCAAATGTGTGTTGCTAAGGAAACAGCTGCAGCCAATGGTCATGTGAGTGTGGCTACAGCTGATGACAACCACAAGCCAAACAGGCAGAAAAGGAAAGGCTCAAGATGTAATCATGAAAGGGGTGCAGACAGTTTGAACTGGAGGAAAAGAAATGAGGATGGCTGTCACACTGAAAGGTCTGCTACACTGGACCCTCATACATTGGACCCTCGTACAGCAGGGGGGCACAAGTCTCAATTGTCCAGAGGCGCAGTGAAAAAACATGGTCATAATGCTGGGGGAACACGGGAACCCATGGATCTCAGAGCTGGGGGAACACAGGAACCCATGGATCTGAGAGCTGGGGGAACACGGGAACCCATGGATCTCAGAGCTGGGGGAGCAAGGGAAGTCAGAGCTGTAAGAATGAGGGATCCCAGAGCTGAAAGCAACGAAGAAGTCAGGCAACTGGATGAGATGCATGCTGCAATGTTACAGAAGAGAAGAGAGCGCAAGAAGTTACAGCTAAAAAATCAACAAGGCATATGCTTGCAGCCAAAAGATCATCAAGAAGGTACAAACTTGCAGCTAAAAGATCATCAAAGTACACAGCTGCAACTAAAAGATCAAGAAGGTACAAAGTTACTGCTAAAAGATCATGAAGTTACAAAGTTACAGCTAAAAGATCATGAAGGTACAAAGTTACAGCTAAAAGATCAAGATACACAGTTGCAACTTAAAGATCATACAGAAGGCACAAAGTTACAACTAAAAGATCATCAAGAAGGTACTAAGTTACAGCTAAAAGATCAAGAAAGTACATACTTGCAGCTAAAAGATCATCAAGGTACAAAGTTGCAGTTAAAAGATCCTGAAGCTGTGTATCCACAATTAGTGGATGAAGACAGAGAAGTGTCTAATTGTGTACAGGACTTACAAGGTCACATGGATGAGACAGATCAATGCATATTGACAAAACCTCAGGAAAAGAAATCAAGTGCTGGGAAGTTCACACAAGTCAGATTGATCAATGTGTTAGATGTGAAGAAGAATCCTGCCAAGGAAGTTGATTGTCTAGAGAGTAAAGTTAGTGCAAGCACTACAGAGATTTCTCAACTTGAAAACTCCAGAAAAATGGATAGAGTAAAACTGAAGGAACAGCCCAAGGATGTGAAGCTCATGTTGGCACAGAGGATAACAGCAGTAGACCCTCACAATCCAACAAGAGCTAGGCATGGTTACAGAGTGAAAAAGGTCAAACCAATCAAGCCGTCTAAGTCAGATGCTAGATTGGCAGGTCTGGTTGTGTCTGATGGCTCGACCTCATCTACCTCCTCGTACATGACACTGAGTTCCACATCTGATGTGACAGACGCCTCAGACCGTGAGAACACCATCTTCAAGTCCCATTGTTATGCTAATAAATATGCAGATGAGGGTCACCACATTAAAGATGACAAGACTAGTCCAGTCAAACATTTGTACTCTCCTAGACCTGATCAATCCAGCACAGAAACATTCAGCTGTTACAGGGGCTGCTCCATAACCCAAAGCTCACACATCTCATCAGCCCACTACCCCAGGCCACAACCTCTAGACTACCTCGGGGGTGGCTCAACTCTTCCACACACCCCTGCACTGTGGCAACAATCAAAGCATGGGTCTAAAGTAAAAAAACTGTCAAAAACAAGGGAAAAACCAAGTAACAGGCAGCAAGATAGACTTGCACCAAAAAGATGGAGGTCAAAGATTGAAGAACACAAGTTTGAATTAAGTTCTGGAAACCAATCAGAAATGGATCCCTCAGTGGCTCACCAGCAAGGTTCAGGCAGCCAAAGTAGATTCATTCAAGAACAAAATCACTTGTCAAACCCTTATGTCTTTAACCATTCACTCACAGGGCCCATGCCTCCTACACTAGGGCATTGCTGCCCCTTTTATTTCCAGTCACATCTACCACATGCTGCTATGGTGCCACCACCATTTTACAACTACCCTCCAACATATCAGCACAGTCACTACCAGGCTTCAGTAATGCAACTTCAGTATCTCAGGATTATGACACAGGCGCTTTCTCATCTGCATAGACACTATCATACTAAAGAAGAATAGCCCAGTCAGTGCCCTCTTGTAAACAAAGAATAGCCCAGTCAGTGCCCTCTTGTAAACAAAGAATAGCCCAGTCAGTGCCCTTGTACTTCTTTGTGAGACAATGTTCAGCCACTTGCCACCAGCAAGACGGTGGTTAAGGCAAGATGTTGACCTGAGATGACAAAGGGGGAAAAACACAGCACAAGCCAAGTAAAAGTTTTGGGGGTCTAAATGTTCAGGATGACCAACAGCTAGCAAAAAGTGAGGCATTGTGAGAAAAAATTTTTGTTATGCATCCAACAAGTATAAATTCTGTTTGTTCATTTCATACTTGAATGATTAACAATTTGTTATATTATTGTTTGATTAATAAATTTACAAATATGAATATTTTTTTTTTAGTCTTCATCATTCTTGTTTGTACTCAATACTCAAATCTTAATACTGGTAGTACAACAACTAAAGCCAGATAAGATATTCACTAAAATATGCAAATGTTTGAAGGCTCATAGAGAACTTTATTGGACATGATTTATATATTACACAGTTAAAAAATATGAGGCATTTTATTATGGAATGCAATAAAAAAATTATTTGTATTAGATACATCAAGCATCCTGTTATGTTAGGATGTTTCACTGATTTAAAATGAAATGCATATATTACAAATTAAAATACAATGAAGAAGACAAACCTTGGTGTTAAAAAAATATATATTGGCTATATATATATATATAAAAAAAAAATCAACACCAAGAAGGAAAATGTAAGATGACAAACAAAAGAAATGGGCCAGAGCTCTAGAGGTGGTAGGGATGGAGGAACTAGGAGAAGAAAAAAAAAGGAAGCTCTGCAAATGTTCAATTTAAAACAACCTATTATTAGAGTGAATAAAATAGCAAAACTCTTAACCAACTTAGTTTAAATTATTCATGTATAATTGACAGCTCAGCAGTTTACAATGCATTTAATGGCAACACATTGTTAACTGTCAGACATTTAATGAAAACATTAACTGTCAAAATGAAAAGCCAACGGTTAAGCACTGTACAAAAAACCCAGGGTATATACATATTCAAATGTTAGTTTTCAAACAACAGACAGAAAAAAATTCTGATATTTCTGCACTTAGCAAGAATGTAATCAACAAACCAGTTTGACAGCAAGCACAGTCATTATCAAATCCAATTTTAAAAGAGTATAGTGGAGCTGTTTAAAATTCCATTTCCCAAATGCTGCTATCAACATTTGACATAGGGTAGTGAATAAGAATGATCACAGATTACAGAAGCACAAGTAACAAGACCTTAATGTCTACACTGGAGCTCAATCACATGCCAAACCAGTCAAGAAATTGATACAATTGTTAAACAAAAATAACCTATCAATTACATTAAAATTAATTTAAACCAAGATAAATAGACAGGCCAAAAGCACTTTCTGCTAAAGTCAGATAAGGTTTCCACCAAGTTTATGAAAACTAGACAAACACTTGCTGTTAAATAGATCCTTTTTTTTAATGCATTATAATTAAGATATATTTTAAAATAATAAATAATCAATAGAAGTTTTCACTTTTTGTTTAATCAGATATGCATTGCACATAATCCCCAGTTATGTGTGGCCTTTTTTTCCTTTAATTAGAGAGTAGTTAGATGAAAAATATTTGAATATGTGATGATTAGAACAATAGGAAAAAAAAAGTTTCCCACTATGTACATCAACCAACGCTGTACACTGAATTTTTAAAAAAATATGTTGTTTAACATAGGTCCTATTTCTGGTTGAACAATTTAACTTTGGAAAGCTACATCTGTGGTTTGTGCTAACTTATTCATCATTACTAACATGTGACGCCAAAGAAAAATGATGGCGTAAACTGTCCCAGTAACTAGTGAAATAATCAGGATGTTGCATGCCAAATTGTCCCAAAAGAAGTTCAGGAATTAAGCCTAAACGATTCAAAGAATGTCTCAATTTTTTTTTTACAAACAACTTGGTTTTATGTGTCAGCTTGTGTCTAAATTAAATACTTTAATGGTGTATTGACTTGTCTCAACAACACTTTGATGGGGTGTTAACTTGTGTTACTAATGCTTTGGAGGCTAGTCCAAAAGTTTTAAAGAATGCCACAACAAGCTGCCAAAAGTCAATATCAAGACCCCTTTTTATAGCATGTTATGTTACCATCTTGAGTTTAAATATGTAATGTAATATGTGTCCACAGAAAAGGAAAAATGTGTACCTGGAAATATTTGTTTCCAATTTTTAAAAAAGATTTAAGGCCAATTCCTACCAGGCTAACTTTAAATCACACTTGCTTTATAAGTTATATCTGTTTCATTTGCATCAAAAAATCATATAAATCATTTTTGAAGTACTAATATCCAGTCACAAATAGAAAATAATTAAACATTTTCTGGTGGGGATTTCACTTGTTTAGCACTGTCTTTAAATTCGGGAATTGGCAGTTTGGTAGCAGCTGGTGCTTGGGCTGGTGGATGAGGAGAGGAAGGACTTAAAGGCTCTGAAGGGCTTGCTGGTCCCTCATCATCCAGGGAAGGCCAACTAGGAGTGCTATCTGGTTTACTCAATCTTTCATTTAAAGCTTTCAATGCAAGTTGTCTGAAATTTTAAAAGTTTCTTTAAATTTGAATTCCTGCCTAAATTATTTGAAAATTATTTTTATACAAATTTAACAATTAGGTCCTTGAAAGATGTTCAATAAAATACTTTCTAAAATGTCCAATAATCTACACCTTCAATTTGTAAATACCCCTATCATGATCAAGTTTTATGATCTAATAAAATTGTAAAAATCTTACTTTCTTCTTTCAGCATCGTGAGGCTCTGTACCAGGTAATGTTACAGTGATAGTTGTAGGTGAGCTGACATCATACCGACGCTGAGGTTTCTTACAAAGTTTCACTTTAACTAGAGCACTAAATACTGAATTGGATATTATGGCAATTAATGGCTGGAACTGACTTGGGAAGAAACTGAAAACAAACAATTTTTTTGATTCAATATCAAATAAAAATAAATTATTTTCAACCCTATTAACCTACTTTTTCATTGATTTTAAACTTTTATTCTTCCCTCTTGATTAATTATACAAAAGATATAAGTAAGGTACCAGCACTAAGAGATACTATGGCATCAACTTAAAACTAGATAGCAGTAATGGAATATTCAAATTACTAATATTGCTGAGTGTAAACATGACCTCAGCACTAAAACTAACCTAGCTTAGTGAAAAAGTAAAGTACCCAGTACTTTCTATTTATGAGAGATAACAGAAAATACATTTCTTATTTTGGTAGGCCTATTCAATCACCATTTAGGATCACACAAAAATAATACAAATCCATAAATTGAACATTTTACCTAGCAAAGCTAAAGTTATCAGCCATATCACCACGATTTCCATTTGTGTGCTTCTGGTAAAATCGCAGGTATACCCAGCTTACAATCATTCCACTAGCAAACATATATGGATAAGGCCCAGGTAACAAGCCAGCAATTCGCAAAAGTATCACCAAAATTAATAAAGTGATTGGGATGTGGGTATTTCTCAGTTTGCCAAAAGGAAGAGTTGCAAGACAATGATCTGGCATAACTTGCTTCACAGCCACACAAAAACCAGCTATATATCCAGCTAAGCCATAGATGTGTACTTCAAACAAATACTTCTCATCGAGTGTCACCAGATAAATAAAAAAATAGAGAAATGCTGTCATGATTCCAACTCCAATGTTTGTAATTATAAAAAACAGCAGCATATCTGGAGCACCCCATAATGGTTCAAGAAGTTTACCAAACAGCACGATAACAGCAATATCTGATAAAACGTGCCAAAAGTGTAGCTCTACAAAACAATAGAAAATAAAACTGTAAACACGAAAGTTGGGGGGCATGACATATCCAGGAGTTATCGTGATGTATGGAATAGCAGATGAAATAAATGAAAAGAAGTAGCCAATTATGACGACAACTGCTACTACTTTCACTACAATGCTGCTTTTCCCAACAGCAGCTGAAAAATGGTCTTGAATCATTGGTAAAGGAGGAATAACTGAGCCAGTTCCTCTCGAAAATTTGCTCTGAGAGGTGGAAGCCGCCATCTTGTTTGGATATGCAAAAGTGACGTCAACAATGTAAGTTGGTGACCGTGTTGTTAAAAATAATAATTCAATTAATAACGAATCTGCTGTATGCCACTAGCGTTGAACAAATATAGATCTAGGCCCTAATGTAGTTTTCTTTTGTTAATTATTACGTCAATACTGTAATATAGGATTAAATAATACAATTTTAAAGCATTCTAAAATTTTATTTTATTTTTGTGCCACACATTAGATGTAGAAAATAGTTTAACAAATCCGTAAAGGGGTCATCCATAAATGACGTCACGCTTTTTTGGACGATTTTTACCTCCCCCCTCCCCTCCGTCACACATCGTCACAAAAAGCCAGACCCCCCCCCCCCCTAAAATGACGTCACACCTCAACCTACAACTCTCCTCAAAATTGTAGATGAATTTTTCTTAAAACATCGATATTTTTCCAAAATCTTGTCTGAACTCTGTCAACATAGAGTATTTTAATTAATTCATATTACAATTTATTAAAACAGTTTTCTAAAACGCGAAATAACGGCTAAAATTTGTTTTCTTACATTACTTTTTGTTAATGCAAAAATGTGATGTCCCACCATCTGAACCCCCCCCCCCCTCCCCCTCATCACACACCTTCACAAAATTTCGGACCCCCCTCCCCCTACGAGTGTGACGTCATTTATGGACGACCCCAAAGCCAAGTCGCAGTCTATTTTCTTAACTTCGACTGTGCATAATTCAATAATGCAACTCAATATGAGCATTTTATTTTACCTTATTTTGATGCTTCGAACCCTAATAGTGAAGATAAATATATATATATATATATATATATATATATATATATATATATATATATATATATATATATATATATATATATACTAGCTGCATCCCGTGCTCCGCCACGGTAAATCTTTTTAAAATATACCAACTTTGGAACAGAACAAAACAAACTAAAACACAACACAAACGCAAACAAAACACAACCACATTACAACCACAACACAATCACAACACAACCACAACCACAACACAACCACAAAACAACCACAACACAACCACAACACACGGTAAATCTTTTTTAAATGTACCAAGTTGGGAACAGAACAAAACTAAATACAACACAAACGAACGCAAAGAAAAAACACAAACGAAAAAACAAACACAACACTCAACATAAACTCAATTTAAATGTAATCATAAAGGCATATTGCTCACAATCTATCCCGTAGCGCCAAATCGCGCCCTTTCCGAGCGCCGGCGGAAAATTTCGATTTACACCCTCCCACCTCCCTCAAACTTTCGATTTCCACCCTCCCCCCCCCTCTTGCTACGCCTCTGTTATAAAACCCCTAGCTTTTCCGCAAATAAATTAAAGGCAGTATTTAGAATATCCGTGTTTTACCGACCATATTGCACTTTATAAATTCATGCATTTTTTTCAGTACCTTTAAAAATTTACAATAAAGTTTCATGACTAAAACCATTGCGCACCTAATGAACGTGATGACTTAATATAGTAATGGAGAATAGTTGATTAAAAATTATAATTAGTAAACAGTACATTCAGTGAATAAAATAAATAAAAGATAGCCTTTTATCAATCAATGCTAATAATAATATTCCAACAATAATGTACTCTTACACGTCTGCATAATTTGCATTCACATTTTGCTAATTATATTATTCCAACAATTATTCCGTCTTGCAGATTTTGCATTCACATTTTTAGCGTGAGTTCAATTTATCTTTGAATTACCTCCATTGGCAAAATTACTAAGCAGTTTAATTAGATTTTTCTACCGTACTGTTATTATGTTATTAATATGTATTCACTCTTTCTGGGAATATTAACGAAAACGATATTTGACATTGATCCTTTTAATATGTTTTAGCAATGTGCGTGTATTTAATATTCTCTTTACGTTATGCAAAATTGTACAAACAGTGGAAATTATAAAATAGCTCTATGCCGCTATATAAACAAACCCTACTCTAATAATTATAATAAGACACTGCGGTGCACTGAAAAGCACAGCATGGTGCGTAGTTTACTTTTATAGTCCCAAAATCTATAGCGATGACGGACGGACGGAAGGAAGGAAGGAAGGAAGGACAGACACAGCCCGCTTATATTATAGATATATATATATATATAAATATATATATATATATATATGGGGTGCCAATTTTTTTTTGCGGGGAGCCCTTTATTTAGTTCTGCCACTGTGGGTGCAATTTTAGAATAAGCAAATTAAAATAGTAATTTTTTCTCTTTATTATTAAAATGACATAACTGTAGCAAGGAATTAATTCAAAATCGATAATATAAATTAAAAAAAAAAAGAGAAAAATACGCTTTTAAAACTCGATTTTTTCTGTTCCGAAATGAGTTTGAGCATATTTCTATGTAGGCTGTTGTCTCATGATGGATATATTTTGCAATGAAATAGGTTAAATTACTAAATAAGAAATGGGGCACGAATTTTTCTTTCGGATTGGGGGGGGGGTCCAAGTTCCGCCACTGGTTCCCAAAAGATGTAGTTTCATTTTACTTTTACATACTAACATGAGAGGTGTCAATGTAATTATTGTATTACAACTTTTTCTAATTATAGGCTAGTATAGTTATTTTGCCCCTTACTGTCATGACTTGGAGTGGTTGTTTTTGTTTGCTTCCGACAAATAAACCCACCACAATCACTTTCGTTCTCTTCAGCGTAGAAGTGAAAAAAAGACTCAAAGAAAGATACACTTCTGCTAGCAACATTGTAAGTATGATAGATCTAGTACTGCCTGGGATTCAAAGGGACGACTCGAAATAATATCGGAAATACCGTCCAATTAAATTATATAGAGTCTATAAAGTAGAATCTATAAAGTCTCGATCTAGTGATTTAAAATTTCTATTTCGTTAACCGGTTAAATAATTAATAATAGATCTATATACTTTTTTTTAAAAATAAGTAACTCACTGTGAGACTGTGTAACTGGAGAACTGGTAATGTTGTTGATTGTTGTTGATGTTATTGTTGAAATGGAATAATGGACACCAGCGAGTTGACGAGATTCCTTCCATAATGTTGTTGACATGGAATAAAAACGTGCTTTTTAGATTTAGACCGTAAAAAAATAAAAAAAATAAAAACTTAAGCCTAAAATTAATTTAGAAATTTTAGGCCTAGGCCCTATATTTTTAGAATAAATGCTATAAAAGTTGCAAACCCAGAGAACTTGAAAATAATTTGTTGAGTAGTTTAAGGCTACATTTCTATTTATTTTCATCAAGCCTAAGTTATAACCGGATGTTTCACTTTCGTAAGACAAATATTGATTCAAATGATTGGCTGTACAGTAACTTAGTGATCGATAACTATTTGTTTACAAAACTTTGCAGATCAAGGTTTTAAATAACAATGCAAATTAAAAACCCCATGACCTAGTTTTCTATTTTTAGCTTACAATGTGTACAATAAAATCTATGGCGACCTATCCAATAGCAGGATGCCATTGTTTATGTCGCCATTACACGTGAAAACCAAATTATTTTTGCTTTTTTTAAAATTTTTATTTAGTTACCGAAAATATTATAAACATCAAATACATCCAATCTTTAGTAAAGTCCGAAAAAAACCAGACAGGCAGGATTTTATAACCATATTAATTGTAACTACGCTGTGCATGATTTTTAAATGAATTTATACACCTCTCAAATACCTTTGAGACTTTTCTCGCTGGTGTCCATTGAATAATGATAATAAAAAGGATAGGCCTAGCCTATAAATATAAAATATAATATAATATTAATAAGGATAATATGATATGGATTTAGGACAGTAAAAGATACAATTTTATTAAAAACTTAAGCCTAAACTAAAATTAATTCAGAAATTTAATATTTTTGTTTAGAATCAATGCTATCCCCTATCTAAAATACTATTACTTTTATTATTTACTATAGGCCTATAAGTTGCAGATCCAGAGAACCTGAAAATAATTTGTTGAGTTTAACGCTACATTTCTATTTATTTTCATCAAGCCTAAGTTATAACCCGATGTTTCACTTTCGTAAGACAAACATTGATTGGCTGTATAGGAACTCCGTGATAGATTTCTGACAGCCCCACTTTATAGTTTTTTTTGTTTACAAAACTTTGCAGATCAAGTTTTTAAATAACAATGCAAATTTAAACCCCATGACCTAGTTTTTCTTTGGCCGATGCTAGCCGGAATAAGATATGCACGCGCAATGGAGAGAAACTACGACTTGACATCGTAGCGATGTTTTAGATGGTACTGCGCATGCATGTGTTTACAACCGCACAACCCTAACACCAACCCTAACCCTAGCCCTAATCCTATCCCTAACCCTCATTTTAGCCCTAACCCTAGCCATAGGTCACTGCGCAGAGCTATCTTTTGCAGACTAAGTGGAGACGTTGGGGAGAAAAATCTTCTTCCGAGTAGTCACTCTGTTTTTCTTTTTTTAGCTTACAATGTGTACAATAAAATTTATGGCGGCCTATCGAATAGCAGGATGCCATTGTTTATGTCGCCATTACATGTGAAAACCAAATTGTTTTTGCTTTTTTTTAAATTTTATTCAGTTACCGAAAATATTAAAAACATCAAATACATCCAATCTTTAGTAAAGTCCAAAAAAAAACCAGACAGGCAGGATTTTATAACCATATTAATTGTAACTATGCCGTGCATGATTTTTAAATTAATTTATGGACCTCTCAAATGCCTTTGAGACTTTTCTCACTGGGGTCCATTATGCCTAAGTCAAACTTTAAAATTTAAAAGTCAGTCAAGCCCAAGAATTTCTTGCCAATAATAATTATTAATTAAGTTTATTGGGCCTAATTAATTAGTATTAGAAATTAGATCTAGATCTACTAATTAGTAATTACTTAATACTGAATAGGCCTAATTAGTATTTTTAAGTTTAAATTGATAGAAAATTAGCAATAATTAATAATTAGTATTAATTAGATATACTAGAATCTAGTTACTAGTCTAGATCTAGATTTCTAGATCTAGAATCTAAATATTCAAATATTAATAATAATTTATTAAATATAAATAAATAGGCCTAAAGATTAAATGAAGTCGTTTGTAGTAGGCCTAATTTTTTTTTTTTTTAAACACAGAAAACAACTTGCAGTAGACTTGCGACAACTAGATTCTAGATCTAGTAAAATAAGATGATTAGATTTTTTTTTTACTGAAGTCTCAAATTAAATACTGTTAATAGCTACGCAACTTATTCTTTTATTGCTGCGCAATAGGATCAGATTACCCTTTTAGCCTTATTCTTGAGATAAAACTATCTGTATTCTTTTAGTACTTTTAGACCTAGGTAGTTGTGGACATAGGTGGAAAGCGGACTTTTAAAATTTTCACATTAATTTTTCGTAGTAAATTGCAAATGACAAACAAAACAAAAAATTTAGTTTGTGGGCACAGCCATGGTAGGAACTTACCATGAGTCGAGTAATACTAGTTATGTACTTTTTTAATATTGCATTTTCATGTACGGATTGTCAATCTTTAAAATATTTTTTAAATGCGGCAGACCTCAGTCACGTAAATTTTTAAAAATTGATCTAAAGTTTGGAGTAGGCTACAAATTACTTCCAAGTCATAAAGTGGGGTTTTCAGAAGATCAATCTATGCATTTCTGTACAGCCAATCTATTTAAAACAACCTCAGGTTATTATTTAGGATACACAAAAATAGTTTTAAATATAAATGTAGCCTTAAATGAAAAAAAATATTTTGAAGTACACTGCATCTGCAACTTCTATAACATTAATTTAAAAATGATCAAACTTCTAAAATTTTTTCTGGCCTAAATTATGATGGTGAATTCTCTATAAATATAACATTATCCTCTTAACTCAACTTTGATTTTAAATTCTAAAAATGGCAGATACTGGATCAGTGTACAGGTACCTTAGTAGTTATTGCATTTCTGATTACCTCAGGTCTGAGTAGTAGACAAATAGAGCATAATTAAATTATAAGGAATGTAACTTACATTATTCATTATTCTATTTCAGTTTCATTATGCTGGAGGTTTCAGACCTATAATTTGAAGTTGTGTCATGGATTTCCCAGCTATTATTGAAGAAATTGCCCTTGAGGGATTGGATGGTAAAACATGACATGAACATTTGATTTAAGTTTTTATAACCAAACTGTTATTACTTTTTTTATAACATGATGGGTATAGTCACTTTGTTTAATTAGATGCTTAAGATAATAAAACTATAATTCTAGGTAAATCTTGTTTCTTGTTTCCTTTTTAAATTTCTTTAATAAAATCTTTTCTTGCTTTGCATCAGTTTATGTTTGGAAGTTTCATTGAGTAAAGTACTATGCTCCTTATTTAAACAGGCATCACTATAAATGCTCTGTGGCAAAGACTAGAGGATAGACCAGATTTTGTGAAGGGTAACCTTGATGATGCTGCTAAGAGATTCATTTGGAAATATGTAGCAGGTGTGCAAGACTTGGAGTTTTACCTACTTCCAGAGCCCAGACCCGAGCTGGTTATTTTTAGATACAGTGATTTTATTAGCCCAGAGGATTGCAAGTGCATAATGCCTGTGAGTTGAAAAATATTTTTATGTGAAAAAAAAGGCCATTAAAAATATCTACCTTATGAAATAATACTTATTCCTCTAAATAAATTTATTGTAACTTGTACTTGTAAGCATTTTGATAATTTGTTAAAAAGTTAATTTTTGATTTGTTAAAACATAATTTGTTTTGATGAAACTTGAAAGCTTGATACACCAGCTGATATATACTCTCACGACCAAGTGGACGAGTGTGGCATACGAGGTAGCTGTGATCATTTCCAGACCCGCACCAAAATCACTGATGTCATAAGAAGCTATGGTGTGTGTCTCATGTCTCTGGATGAGGTCATTGACAGGTCAGTCCATGGTTTTGTTCTGTCTGCTAGTTCTGATGTGTAAAAGTGTGTTTACATTTTTTCTAATACTGTTGTGTGTGTGTGCTAGGTGGGGCCAGTCCATGGTTTTGTTCAGTCTGCTAGTTCTGATGTGTACAAGTGTGTTTACATTTTTTCTAATACTGTTGTGTGTGTGCTAGGTGGGGCCAGTCCATGGTTATTGTAGCCAGTCAGAAACAGAGGAACCTGGCTTTATTGGGCTGTGTCTTTAACCCAGCTGGATTGAGTACTGAGCTGTACTGTACTCTTGAAGCTGTTGGAAGGTGAGAAACTGTTCAGTTCATGCCAAGCTATAGACAGTTATGTAACAGTGGAGAGAAAATAACATTATCATGCAGTATCAGTAGATTGTGTTTTTATTTTAGGGCCAGGTATGAAGGGGACATCACCTCTTGTAGATATGCTAGAGGGTTATCTAACCCTAAGTTCAAGAAGTTGTTGCAGACTACACTGTTTGGGAAATTAAAACAGTTGGAAAATCAAGGGCTGGTAACTAAACAGGTGTTTTAACTTTTTTCTTTTTTAATGTGATTTTTAATGTTAAGTTGTCTCCCTTTTTCATAAAATATTAAAAAAAAAATTAATAAGCAAATAATTTTGAAATTAAAAAATCTTTCATAATATATAATCATTGTTATTTCAGCCTTTTACTGTAAAATATACAAACCCTCATGGTCTGACCCAAGTTCGACTTGTTCATCTTCGACGCTTCTATCGGATTACTAAAGCAAACTATCGTGGCTATTTACAAGCTGTTTCTGATTTCTTGATTAGCAAGCCCAATCAGATGGCGTTGTATGCGGATATGATCAGCAGTGTAGTAAGTTGAGCAACTATTTAACATGAACACATTCATTAATTGCCAGCTGATTCAACATTGCACATTTTAGTTTAAACCTGCTAATTCCTTTTCCTTAAAATACATTTAGTTTTGAACCAACCAATTCCCTAAGATAATTTTGTTTTCAATCTACTAATTTCCCATTACACATAAAAAAAATTGATTTGATCAGTTGCTTGGTATTCCAAGTATTGTAGTTTTAATCTTAATTGTGTAGGGCCTTACTGCCAGCATTTTCAAGAAGTTGAAGAATAAATTTGGTGGCTACTATGCTACAGAAACTATTCCCTACAGGACCTTGTTTCCAACTTGTACAGCAAATGAATGGAAAACAAAGTAAGAGTAGTAAACAGTTCACACAAAAATTCTTTTATGCATGCCTTTAATGGTAGGTGTCAAAAATAAATACTTTAATTTAGGTAAGATAAAAACAAATTCTAATGACTAGGGCTGGACTTGAAAAAAGGGTTCGCGTAGTGAAACTGTTGAAGAGATATCATGACACTGATGAATTTGATGATGATGATGATGATGAAAATGATGACAGCGAAGATGAAGAATATCTTGACACTGGAAAAGTTGATGACAATGATGATGATTTGAGTGCAGAGAACACGAGTATGTCAGAGAAGAAAAAACCCAACAACATTTATGGTAAATTTTCTTTATCACTACATCCATTAGGGCCAGGTTTTGTAACAAATATTTCAGTTGATATATTTTAAGGTATTTTGGCTGGGATTTTTAGTAAATAATGTTATAGTTAAGTTGACATTTTAAATTTAGGTTCTTTGGGATATCACCGGTCAATTCTAAGTCAAATAATGATGGCCATCCAAGACTCAGGAGAGAGGGGCCTCATGGAGCGGGATGTGAGTATTAAAGGAAATTTCTTTGAAAACGCTGCAAATATTTTATAAACTTTTTTTTTGTGTGGGATAAAAAAGTAATCCTAATTTTTTAATAGAACTACAAATGTAGTATGGAATTGTTTGATAATATGTTTTGTACCAACTTGTAGATAAAATACAAGCTGAGTTTGGCTAGAGTTCGGATGAGACATTGTATGAAGGAACTTTGGAAAACCAAGTGTATTTCTTCAATTATGAGATCATATGGGAAACACAATGGCACATTGTAAGTTCATTTTCATGTAAACATAATTAATTTGTCCTTACTGCAAAAATCCTGATTAATAAATTCTATTGAGTAAAAACCATTAATTAGATTTTACAATATTTTTTCCATGCTATTTGCTTTAACACTAAGAGAGCCTCACCTTGTGGGCTCATTGACCACATTACTGCTGTTTGTTACATTGGAACCCCCTCCCCCACCCCTTCCTTTTTAGTCTTGTAACCCCTGAGATTGCAGACAGACTGAAAGCTAAAAAAATGGAAGAAGTGGCTCCCATACCCAAGATAGAACTCGATGTAAGCTTTGATGGGGAGCAGATGTTAGATGACTTTGGTAAATAGAAAATTCATTTATAAAATATTTAAACTTTTTTCTTTATAGTTAACATTTAAGTCTGTAAGCCTACTCAAGTTTGGATTTACACCACATACTAATTTGTAGCTTTAATAATGGTGTTACTTTTGTGTTTGTAACAAATCTTTCAACAAACAATTATCCATGTTTGGTTAGCTCTGAGAAGGGCAGTTATTTTCATTTAATTTGAATTTCTATAAATGACACAACTCAATAACAGAGGCGTTTTGAGGTGGGGGGGGGGTGCAGACCCCACAAGGTGACACCATTTAGGGGGTGACACCAAGACAAAAAAATGCATAATGTATAAAAGAAAAATGCTTTTTGTCAGTTCAATAAATGATTATTTAGATTTAAAAAGTCTTTTAAGTACTAATAGAGAATGTTGACAAGGGAGTGGTAACACAACGTAAACCTACTAATTGTAGTGAAAAAAAATGCTACATGTAGCTGTATTAATAATCAATTATAGATTTATAAACAACATAACTATTAACTGTGCATGATTTGAAGCTATCACCCTGGGGTGAGAGTGACACTAACTGCAAAATTTACAGAGGAAAAAATGAGTGTACTTGAATATTATCAGTATAACTGATTAGTGAATCAACAACGTGGTGACACCATATCTAATAATTTACTTTGAAAATGTTGCTTTTTCCAGTTGAAATAATAAGTGAATTAAAATGTGTTCACAAATTTTGCAAAATGGGAGGGGTTTTACACCATAAGGTACCGCACTGGTGACACCCTGACCTAGCAACACTTCCGCATTTTAAAAATATTGATTGAAGTAACCGTTTAATTGTTTTTTCTGCATTGTCTGATTTAGTAAAAAATTTATTTGCCTGCCATTATTTAAATGTGACTAGAGCCAAAGCCTCTATCCTTGTTTATGTGTGACTAGATTTCACATGTTTAGATATATCAGATGAGCAGGCGGTGCGTGAGCTTGATGCCAAGGTTAAAGATTTGAATCTCATAGTTAGCATTGACCGGGCTGATGGCGTTGTCACCCCTGACAGGAAGAAAGAAGGTAGGCAGCTTTTGTTATGCCCTGTACAAATATCTGTATGTACCTTGAACTCATGGACCTATTGGTTTTTTAACATTGTCAGATAATAGTTCTTTGTTAAAAAAAATTAAAATTTTCTGATGCACTTGATCAATTTTTTTTATTGTGTGCAGAAAGTGAGAGAAAAACCATGAGGAAACAATACATCATAAAACAGCTGTCAGATACGAAAGTGGTTCACAGTATACACACATTGTTTTTGGTCAGTTGATTGTAACAAACTCTGCTTCATGCATTAGACTAACACAACTGGTTCTCTTTTTTTGGATTACCATAACTTTCCCAAATCTGTGTAATGATAATATTTTGATTAATGCTAATGCACAAGTGTAGTTATGTCATGAGACAGCTGTGATTACATTGTGAGAATCCCTCCAATTCCTCTTGTACAGAATCTTTGTCAGCATGAGAAAGAACAGGGTCACAAGGAGCAGATGTGTCGTAAATCTTTTAGAAATATTGCCAAAGAGCTTTTTACAGAGGGAAAACTCTACTACATCAATGTTAGCATGCAGGATAAACCAGAGAAACTGGTAAGAATATTTCCACTTGTAAGGAATTTCTATGTTCAGTGTTTTTTTTGAGTAAGATATGAAAGTGTATTTGAAATCTATTTTGTCAGATCCAAAAGATGGTTGTTGAGCCAAACACACGGGTCAGTGATGTGAAGGTTAAGCAGGCCCTTCTCTATGCACGTCCGCAGTGTTTGAAGCTCAAGTACCAGGGCTCATCTGCTGCATACCCTGCACAAAAAGTAAATAGAAAACCTTTTTTTTTTGTGTCATGAAGCATGTTGTCATGACATTTGTTAACAATTGATCACTTATTTTTAATTTTTGTATCTTTACTTAAAATGTACAAAACTATTTTGACTGTTTCTGCTTGCAGCCTGGTCCTAAGAAAAAAGGAGCAGCTTTAGGATCTGGTCAAGACGTGGATACCTCAGTATTGTCATCACCTCCCCTGTTGAAAGCATCCACCAAAAAGGCCAACAGCAGCACGTCCAGCTCAATGGTGTCCATCTGTGATCTGCTGGACAGGAACATCACAGACCGCACCACTCCAGTCAAGATACACGTAAGAGCAATACATTTTATTTATACTCTGATACACCCAGAAAGTATTGTCTTCATTTTAAGACATTTGTATGTGTTGCAGAAGCAGAAGTTTGGACTGTATGGGTCTCTTTCAAAGTTTGAACGTGCTGAAGTTCTTCACAAATACATGTTTTATTTATTTTACGAATATAAAGGCAACGTGGAAGCTGTTGATTCACAGGTCGGTCTTTGTATCCATTGAGAAAATATTTTATATTAAGTTTCAGTGAGTTAGGAGCTGTGCTAGTCAGTGATTTGTGTTAAATAATTAGATATTTTATCTCTAGTTTCAGTGGGTTAGGTAGCTATGCTAGTCAGTGATTTACATTAAAACATTTTGATGTTTTCCAGAAGATGACCAACACACCTATAGTTTATTTAGATGTTGATGACTGGAGGAGATATTTGCCACCTCTCAAAGTACATAATGGTAAGCAGAAATATACAGTTGTCTTTGTAACATTCACATCATAATATGTGTTCCATTATTTTTTGTTATTGTAATGAAGCTGGTTGATAATGGATTTGTTTATTTATTATAGTAAAACAAATATGTTGCATGTGGCCAAAGGTTTGTTTTTACTAACCAAGAATGAGTGCCATGTGGCCAATAGGTTTGTTTTTACTAACCAAGAATGAATGACATGTGGCCAACATCTGATTGTATTTTTTAGCCAACTACCTGGGCAGTGATGAGATGAATGGCACTTGTATGGTGGGAGACTTTCTGCTTCACATGCCCATCAAAATCTTCTGTCAACTCATTAATTTACAGTGGGAGGTAAGCCTTCTAGGCGCTCAATTAGGGGATGTAAACGTTGTATCTCCAAAGGAGAGAAAACAGTATTTTACTCAATGCATCTAATTTTGCTCTAAAATTTTACATTCATGTACTTGTTTCATAATTATATGTATGTACCCATGAGATCTATAAACATGTTGTTTCTGTATGAACATCATATTTTAAGGAGTTCTATTTCATTGTTATTTTAAATACTGACTATACTAAATTGTTGGACAGATTCCTGGATTAAAAGAGATATTAAATCATGTTGATGAAAAATTTTACCCAATTGATGCTCTGCCTGGAACTATTTTGTCCCAAATTTTGACCAAAAGACAGTACCTGGCCAAGCTGAATGAAAACCTGATTGTTTTGTGCCAGATGGGACTCTTGACCTTTGGTCCGAGGACTTCAAATAGAGAAATAGAATTTGTAAGTGTTCACACGTCTTTTACAGTCTGTTACATTTGGATCTATTACTTGATATTTTTTGTAAAGTTTTTGTTTTTTGAACAACAAAAAGAAATAAATCTACAGTTTTGGATTGATTTTAATATATCCTCCCACTTAGCTTCAGTTTGCCTGCATAAAAAACTTTTCTGCTAAAATTGTATCTTCAGACTTCTGTTTACCTGCATAAGAAAGCTATGCTGCTTGACACAAGAAACAGTCTTCAGGGGCACATCATGACCCGTAGCCCAGATGGCAAGCCATTTGAAGCGCTGCATTACAGCTTTACAACAATGGATGAAGTAGTCAGATATTGGATGGATCTCAGGGTGATCAGTGTCAATTCAAAGCTTGGCTCCAACAGTGTTGGTATGTTCATCCTGTTCTTATGTTGTTGGTATGTTCATCCTGTTCTTATGTTGTTGGTATGTTCATCCTGTTCTTATGTTGTTTGTATGTTCATCCTGTTCTTATATTGTTGGCATGTTCATCCTGTTCTTATGTTGTTGGTATGTTCATCCTGTTCTTATGTTGTTGGTATGTTCATCCTGTTCTTATGTTGTTGGTAGTTCATCCTGTTCTTATATTGTTGGTATGTTCATCCTGTTCTTATGTTGTTGGTATGTTCATCCTGTTCTTATGTTGTTGGTATGTTCATCCTGTTCTTATGTTGTTGGTATGTTATCCTGTTCTTATGTTGTTGGTAGGTTCATCCTGTTCTTATGTTGTTGGTATGTTCATCCTGTTCTTATGTTGTTGGTATGTTCATCCTGTTCTTATGTTGTTGGTATGTTCATCCTGTTCTTATGTTGTTGGTATTTTCATCCTGTTCTTATGTTGTTGGTATGTTCATCCTGTTCACATTTGTTGGTATTTTCATCCTGTTCTTAAGTTGTTGGTATGTCCATCCTGCTCACATTTGTTGGTATGTTCCCTACAATGTAGCTGTGTGGATTAAGAGAGTTGTTTTTTGCTAAAACTGATGATTACCTCATGACATCCTGTATGTGTTATGTAACAGAGGACGTAAAAGGAAGTCATGGCACTATATCTCTACTGGATGCCAGCAAACCCCGCAGTTTTGAGGATGTTGTTGAAGAGGATTGGTTGCCAGGTGACAGGAGGGGTGCGGCTGGCTTGGACAGTTCAGTTTTTGCGTAAGTAGAGTAATGAGATATTTGTATTGTCTGAAAACTTTAAATTGGTGTTTTGATAAATAAAAAAAATCAGAGAAAAGAATAAGAGCAATGTTATTTTATTTGCTTGTGACAGTCACAGATATAACAATTGGAATTTGGAAGGAAGTAGAAAGCGCAACAATACTCGAGCTTTGATGCTTCCTCTGACACTAAGTATGGAGTCTGAGAGAGAGTTGGGTTAGTGGTTTCTTTAAATGTATCACTCTACATGTTACTTACTACACTACACTACACTAGGTATGAACCTTGCTGATGACTATTTAGTATTCAATTTTTTTGTTTACTGTGCATAAACATATCTTCTATATATAAGCCTAACATCTTAAATTCTGTTTTTTATTTTATTTATGACATATATCAAGCTTGGGAGAGATGATATTTCTTTCATGAATTTCTGCTTTTAGATAACTCTCCACCACCAATGGCAGACAATGAGATGAATGGTGACTCACAACCAGCTCCCAAGCAGCGTAAAAGGTCAGGAAAAGTGGTGGATACCAAGTTCAAAATTGGTCGTAAGTATCATGGAGGTAGTTTCATATCAAATCTTAACCTGAACAAAAAGTGCCCACTTCTTTTTAAATTTGTAACAGCTGTTATGCTGCTCCCAGCGTTTGGCCCACAGACCTACTATACCATAATTGATGCTCCCAGCATTTATTATTTTCTTTATTAACTCTGTTGTTTTGCTCAGTTTTTAATCATATATCTAGGATATTATATCACTAGACTGTCATTATTAGCTGTGTTTACTCCTTTCAGTTTTTCCCTATAGTTGACTTGGTATTTTAATATTTTTTTTTGTGGTGTAAAAAACTGCTTGTAAATTGACATTCCTTCCGTGGATTCCTTCCGCATCTTAATAGTAGTGTCCGTGTCTAAAATAATTTAGAAAAAAATTATTACAATATTAATCTGGTAGTAGTATGGACATTGTAAAAATAATTTTTATCAATAATTTTCCCAACAGAAGTGTATTTTTCCCTGTGAAAAGCTACTCATGTATTTTTCTTGTTTAAAAATACTTTTTTTTCTTCATAAAATAAATTTTAACTTAAAACCTCTATAGCCGAGTACAGCATTTAATTACAATTACTTAATTAAGAAAAACATGAGTATTTTGGTCGCAATGGGTGACCACCATTATAGAGGTGACACCAAATAAAGGTATAATTTCTGTGAAAAACAGTGAGTTATCCAGTTAAAATTAAAAAAACTAGTAGGACAGCAGGGTAACACCAAACTGAAAACTCAAAATTGTAGGATGTGGGAAAGGGTGTGTGACACACTCAGCAGCTGCACCAGGCACAACAAACCTCATGATGACAATAGTTTTAATTTGACTTTTTCGCTAATTTGACCATTCAAATTTTCATGAAAAGCTAGGGGGTTGTTGGGTTATGACTATATTATACAATATTTTTAAATTCAGTTAAGTTATCATAAAAGGTAAACAAAAATCAAGGGGTCAGTGTGCTCGAGTCGGTAAAGCTCATGGTTGCTAAACCAAAAAAGTCTTGAGATCGAACCCTCGGGCAGATGAGGCTCGTTAGCTGGGGGCAGTAACTCTTCTAGGAGAGACCTCCAAAATTAAACAACTGCTGCCTTGTAGTTTGATTTTGGTTGGACAAAGTCAATGGAAGCAAATCCAAAAAGAAAAGCAGGTTGAAATTGGAGTTAACGGCCTCAATGGCGTATAACCAGATGACACATATACTTAATTTTGTTTGAGGTGATCCCTTCCAACACTAAAACTAAGAACAAAGAAGAATAAAGAACAAAAATTATATTTATTATACAATGCTAATGATTGAAAGAAATATTATTGTGATTTCAGTAATAAATAAAAAGTTATAGCAGATTACAGACTTATGGGTAAAAATGAAAAAAAAATTAAAACAAACTACTGATTTTGAAGCTTGAATCACTATATTTATATCTGAAATTAATTATAATTTCAAATTAACAAATGTTAAATCCGCTGACTTTTCCTTACTTCCAGCTGTTGGTGGTGAGGCTAAATTCCGAACCATGGAAGCCAGAAAAAACAGACTCCCTGCTCAAAGAAAAAAGAAACCAAGAATGCAATGTATGTATAAGAAATAGAAAATGTCCAAGTTTATAAAAAAAGAGTGAAATATTGGTTTGCTTCAGACTGTAGTGACTAAACTAAAATATGTGCAGGTTATGAAGTTGTTTCGACACAATTAAACCAACATTTATTCTAACTTGATACAATATTCTTTTGCCAGATATGGATGATGTAGACAGAGAGGCCAAGAAAAACATGAAGATGATTAGATCCACTTTTTCTCCACTGGAGAATGGAATGGTAGGTTGTGAAACAAGAGCTGTAGGACAGCTAATGTCTACCCTGTTCCAATCACCAAACTGTTAACACTACACTAGCTATACAGCTAATGATGTTAACTTATGCCTTCCACCATTCAAATGTTAACCCTATATCAGCCACCATTTAACTGTTAACCCTATTTCAGCTATCGTACAACTTTTAACCCTATATCAGCTACCATACAACTTTAAACCCTATATGAGCCACCATACAACTGCAGCTACCATACCACTGTTAACCCTATATCAGCCACCATACAATTGTTAACTCTATACCTGCCACCATACCACTGTTAACCCAATATCAGCCACCATACCACTGTTAACCCTATATCAGCCACCATACCACTGTTAACCCTATACCTGCCACCATACAACTGTTAACCCTATACCTGCCACCATACAACTGTTAACTCTATACCTGTCAACTGATGTTTAAATCTCTCCTCCAGCTGCTGTTGTTTCAAGTGACCAACTGCATCCTCAGCCCAAGCTCCAACATTCCATGTGTTCCCTCTAGATTCCTTAGAGATATCCTGCAGAGACTTATACCAGTAAGTTAGACTCTTCATTACGGTTAACTTTCTTGTAAGTATAAACTGCACCATTAATGTACAATGTTTCACAAGATTTCATATTGATCTTGAATTCCCCCCCCCCCCCCCCCCCCCACCTATTTTATACCTTAGGATTCCAAAGACAAAACAGCCAACTCAGTCAAAGGAAAGTCAGTACGTCTGATCAGAGATAAGAGGTTCAGAGGTTATCTCACCAGTTATATCTCACAAGCTATGAGTGATGAGGTAAATGCTTGATTCTTAGTGTATATCCTGTAACCTGACTTTAAAGCCAGTGTTGTTGTCTAAACCCTAGACTTTATAGCTAGTGTTGCCGTCTAACCCCCCAACCTTATAGCTAGTGTTGCCGTCTAACCCCCAACCTTATAGCTAGTGTTGCTGTCTAACCCCTGACCTTATAGCTAATGTATTTATCCAAACCCCTGACCTTATAGCTACTATAGTTGTCTAAACCTCAGATGACCTTCTAGCTAGTGTATTTGCCTAAACCCATATGACCTTCTAGCTAGTGTAGTTGTCTACACCCCACATGACCTTATTGCTAGTGTGCCTACACCCATATGACCTTACGTTCCCCAGAGAATAATGAGCAAGCTGAGGAGCACCAAACGTCCAATTGTTTACAGTCAGGAGATGCAGAGGCTGTTTGCTGAACTCTTTGAGGAGGTCAGGTTAAAGTTCAGGTCAGTGCCAGGTGTATGACAGGAGCTTGGGAAACCTTGTGACAGGAGAGCTTAGTGTACAGAATCTGCATCTGGAGCTTAAAGTTAAACAAGTTTAGTGAACATTTGCCTAGGGAAATGATATTTTACCCTTAGAGTTTTTTTTTTAGCTCAAACATCATGTTCAGACTTTGTTATCTAGAATTACTTATTTCATTCAATCATTCATTTTGGACTGCAAATATACTAATCATTCTCTCATATTGAATACTTCTTACAACAATAATAGTTATAACAACTTACAAACCCACATTCCCAGAGATTCTTAAGTTATATAACCTTTTTAATGTGGCACACACTACAAGCAGTGGCATCACCAAGTTGGCTGTCACCTCTGGTAGATTTTCTTTAATCCTGATGATGTTACTGATCCCAGGGTTTCTAAAATTGCCATTGTTTGTCCCTAGCTCCCCACTCTCCCACATGATGATGTTACTGATCCCAGGGATTCTAAAATTGCCATTGTTTGTCCCTATCTCCCCACTCTCCCACATGATGATGTTACTGGTTCAGGGATTCTAAAATTGCCATTGTTTGTCCCTAGCTCCCCACTCTCCCACATGATGATGTTACTGATCCCAGGGATTCTAAAATTGCCATTGTTTGTCCCTAGCTCCCCGCTCTCCCACATGATGATGTTACTGGTCCCAGGGATTCTAAAATTGCCATTGTTTGTCCCTAGCTCCCCACATGATGATGTTACTGGTTCAGGGATTCTAAAATTGCCATTGTTTGTCCCTAGCTCCCCACATGATGATGTTACTGGTTCAGGGATTCTAAAATTGCCATTGTTTGTCCCTAGCTCCCCACTCTCCCACATGATGATGTTACTGGTTCAGGGATTCTAAAATTGCCATTGTTTGTCCCTATCTCCCCACTCTCCCACATGATGATGTTACTGGTTCAGGGATTCTAAAATTGCCATTGTTTGTCCCTAGCTCCCCACTCTCCCACATGATGTTACTGATCCCAGGGATTCTAAAATTGCCATTGTTTGTCCCTAGCTCCCCACATGATGATGTTACTGGTTCAGGGATTCTAAAATTGCCATTGTTTGTCCCTAGCTCCCCACTCTCCCACATGATGATGTTACTGGTTCAGGGATTCTAAAATTGCCATTGTTTGTCCCTAGCTCCCCACTCTCCCACATGATGATGTTACTGGTTCAGGGATTCTAAAATTGCCATTGTTTGTCCCTAGCTCCCCACTCTCCCACATGATGATGTTACTGATCCCAGGGATTCTAAAATTGCCATTGTTTGTCCCTAGCTCCCCTCTCTCCCACATGATGATGTTACTGGTTCAGGGATTCTAAAATTGCCATTGTTTGTCCCTAGCTCCCCACTCTCCCACATGATGATGTTACTGGTCCCAGGGATTCTAAAATTGCCATTGTTTGTCCCTAGCTCCCCACTCTCCCACATGATGTTACTGGTTCCAGGGATTCTAAAATTGCCATTGTTTGTCCCTAGCTCCCCACTCTCCCAGACCACCTACCTGCCAGCAACAGTGGCAGAGTTGGGGGAGAGTTACTACGTGAGACTGACTGAAGAAATTTTGTGCAAAACCCCAAAGCTTGTGGATAACATAAAAACTGAAGATGGCATTAAGGCAATGGTTGTTTGGGAACTTTTAGAGGTAAGCAAAATGTCCTCAATTAAAGGAAGCTGTTCTAAGAAAATGGTGTGTTGAAACATGTTTAAGGCTTCAGTTTGACACCCTCTTTTATTCACTGGGAAAGGGTTCAGTTTCAAGCACTGGTTTTTTTCTTTCATCTCTCAACCCCCCCCTTCATACTTGTTTTCTTCATACTTGTTTTCTTCATACTTGTGTCTAATAAAGTTTGCTTGGATTTTATTTTAGTATATCTATATTCTAATATACTAGTCTTCTATTCCAGAGTTTTCTCCACCTGAAGCAACCCCTGTCAGGTAAAGCTGTCTACTACACCCTGTCTAAATATCCTAATGAAGTCATTCACAAGGCTTACAATCTCCTGCGACATTACAGTATTATAGTCCAGATGAAGGTGAGATCAGGTTATACCAGAGGTAGCCAAAAATTTTTGTTGTGCTAGCCAAAAGTTTTTGTTGTACAAGTGGTAGCCAAAAGTTTTTGTTGTACCAGAGGTAGCCAAAATGTTTTTGTTGTACAAGTGGTAGCCAAAAGTTTTTGTTGTACCAGAGGTAGCCAAAAGTTATTGTTGTACCAGAGGTAGCCAAAAGTTTTTGTTGTACCAGAGGTAGCCAAAAGTTTTTGTTGTGCTAGCCAAAAGTTTATGTTGTACCTGAGGTAGCCAAAAGTTTTTGTTGTACAAGTGGTAGCCAAAAGTTTTTGTTGTACCAGAGGTAGCCAAAAGTTTTTGTTGTGCCAGAGGTAGCCAAAAGTTTTTGTTGTGCCAGAGGTAGCCAAAAGTTTTTGTTGTGCCATAGGTAGCCAAACGTTTTTGTTGTACCAGAGGTAGCCAAAAGTTTTTGTTGTACCAGAGGTAGCCAAAAGTTTTTGTTGTACCAGAGGTAGCCAAAAGTTTTTGTTGTGCCATAGGTAGCCAAACGTTTTTGTTGTACCAGAGGTAGCCAAAAGTTTTTGTTGTACCAGAGGTAGCCAAAAGTTTTTGTTGTACCAGAGGTAGCCAAACGTTTTTGTTGTACCAGAGGTAGCCAAAAGTTTTTGTTGTACCATAGGTAGCCAAAAGTTTTTGTTGTGCCATAGGTAGCCAAAAGTTTTTGTTGTGCCATAGGTAGCCAAACGCTTATGTTATACCAGAGGTAGCCAAAAGTTTGTTATACTAGAGGTAGCCATAGGTAGCCAAAAGCTTATGTTATACCAGAGGTAGCCAAAAGTTTTTGTTGTACCAGAAGTAGCCAAAAGTTATTGTTGTGCCAGAGGTAGCCAAAAGTTTTTGTTGTACCAGAGGTAGCCAAAAGTTTTTGTTGTACCAGAGGTAGCCATAGGTAGCCAAAAGTTTTTGTTTTGCTAGCCAAAAGTTTTTGTTGTGCTAGCCTAATGTTTTAAATTTTCTGTTTTCTTGTGGCAGAAATTTGAGAAAGATCGGATGGAAATATTGAGCAATGCTTCACTGTTAAACAATCATAAATGTATGCTCAGGTGAGTGGTCACAAACTATTTAACACTACACTAACTGGCTTTGATAGAGTGAACCTTTGTTGTACCACACCACCCTGAAGTGTTGACCTTTAACCTTTCTCCTTATGGTTTTTGTTACCCAGGCACAAGGATGCTCTCAAGTCCAAGCTGCCAGCAGATTTGTTCAGCAATTTGTTTGGTCAGCTTGAAGAGCTGAGGAAAGCCAAAGCTGCCTATGATGCAGATGTGGAGCTGGGCCTGTTTGACTGGCCTAAGGACGGCTCACCCCAGTCTCAAGCTGACAGACTGGAGGATGAGCCAGGAGACTTTGTGGAGATGAATCTAAACAAGTATCAGGGAGGGGCTAATCTAGCCATCATCTCGCTAATAGCTCTTAATATGGTCAGTCTTTACATTTCATCTTAGCTCTCAATCTATCATCTTTCTAGTGGGGTGCAGCAACTTGTGAAGATAGCCACTAGTTGATGAGTTTGTCTCTAAGACCATGTTTGTCTTTAGGTTGAAGTCCAAGCTAAAATTCCTGATGAAATGGTCAGACTGGACGAAGAAGGGAAAAAGAAACTGACCTACAAACAACCTCAGTCAGAGAGTGCTCGCAAGAGGAAACTACAGGCCCTCATGGAGAGTGATGAGGATTCTCTGGATGAGTGGGGTAAGTTGTGTGTAACATGGGGTGGGTTGTGGGGTAATTTGGGTGTGATATGTGGGTTAGGTTGTGTGTGAGGTAGGTTGTGTGATAAAGTTGTGTGTGATATGTGGGTTAGGTTGTGTGTAATGTGGGGTGGGTTGTGTGATAAGGTTGTGTGATGTGTGGGGTAATTTGGATTTGATATGTGGGCTAGGTTGTGTGGGGTAGGTTGTGTGGAGTGTGCATGATTTGTGTTTTAAGCAGTTTTGTGATAATTTAAGTTTTTGTGAAATGTTTTTCTGACTAGAATATGCAGCATCTTACAAGCAGCAGAGAAGCGGTAAAAAGGGCACAAGCAGGCAGTACAAGCGTCAGCTGATAAACAGCCAGTCCCCTGGAGCTGACACAGACACGTGTGGCCAGAGTGTAGAGAAGGTGGTGTATGCTGGCAACATCGTGCTCAGCTTGAAGGAAATCAAAACATCAGCCAGCGGAGTGCTGGGGAACTTCACGGTCTGGGTGGGTTCAGGCTCCCTGCTCACCCTGGCTCGCACGTCTGTCATAGAAAAACTGGACCTGCTCACATCCAAGTGTCTCTTGCAGAGAAACTTTATCGTGGAGACTATGAAGATGAAGTTTGCACTGACAGATGGCAGTGAGCCACCAAGAACTGTGGAGCATGTCACCCAGCCTGAGAAAAGGAGGAGGCCGGAGAAGAAACCTGGCAGTGGCTTGGACAAGCTGCTGGACATGGACACATACACAGATCTGATCGTCCAGTTGGAGAAATATTATTCCCCTGACCTAGACAGGGATGACATGGACGCCATTCTTGTAGACAAGTTGCCAGCACATCTCCAGGACAAAGGGAGAGAAATGCTGAACATCATTGATAATACTGGCATTTTTGGAATATCTGAAGAAGCTCTGGAGGTAAGTTGATGGTCTGTTGATTGTGTTACACATACTGCATGCAACACTGCAAGAAAAGGATATTGTAACCCTGCTAATCCATTACATCCATTAGGACATTGCAATATGGTGTTTATGGTTGTATAGACTTTTACCTAATTTTTAAAACAATGAAATGCCCCTGACTCAGCACATACTACAAGTTGAGATGTGAGTTAGAGGTACTAACCTTGGAGCATGTTGATACCTAATGGCATGTGCAATAGTTTTAATGTCAGCACATAAATAGATTGCCAGGAACATCTACTCTCATCTATCTTAAAACTTTGGATTATTTCCCATTACACCATTACCCTACCTAAAATTGGGTTGGAATTGAATTAAACAGCCAACAGATGTTAAATCACTTTATGATAGAAGAGAAAGTCACAAAGTAAATCACTGGTCTACAGCAGGTCAGAAAAGTTGATTTGATATCTCATGTGGTCTTTCTTGGATAACATGGTGCAAATGTCAAAGTATGAGTTGATATTAGCTGCCATTGCAGGAGCAAATGTCAAAATGAAAACAATTATATTTTAATATATTGTATAATTAGCTAATAGCAATAAACTTTAACAGGAGTCAGTATTTCTCTGGTTAAATATAAACAGTGGTATTAGCTTTTCCAATTTTGTCTGAGAGAGTTGTAAGGTGACCCTTGTTTCTCTGAGAGAGTTGTAAGGTGACCCTTGTTTCTCTCAAAGAGTTGTAAGGTGACCCTTGTTTCTCTCAGAGAGTTGTGAGGTGACTCTTGTTTCTCTCAGAGAGTTGTGAGGTGACCCTTGTTTCTCTCAAAGAGTTGTAAGGTGACCCTTGTTTCTCTCAGAGAGTTGTAAGGTGACCCTTGTTTCTCTCAGAGTTGTGAGGTGACCCTTGTTTCTCTCAGAGAGTTGTAAGGTGACCCTTGTTTCTCTCAGAGAGTTGTGAGGTGACCCTTGTTTCTCTCAGAGAGTTGTAAGGTGACCCTTGTTTCTCTCAAAGAGTTGTAAGGTGACCCTTGTTTCTCTCAGAGAGTTGTGAGGTGACTCTTGTTTCTCTCAGAGAGTTGTGAGGTGACCCTTGTTTCTCTCAGAGAGTTGCACAGTGACCCTTGTTTCTCTCAGAGTTGTGAGGTGACTCTTGTTTCTCTCAGAGAGTTGTGAGGTGACCCTTGTTTCTCTCAGAGAGTTGTGAGGTGACTCTTGTTTCTCTCAGAGAGTTGTAAGGTGACCCTTGTTTCTCTCAGAGAGTTGTGAGGTGACCCTTGTTTCTCTCAGAGAGTTGTAAGGTGACCCTTGTTTCTCTCAGAGAGTTGTGAGGTGACTCTTGTTTCTCTCAGAGAGTTGTGAGGTGACCCTTGTTTCTCTCAGAGAGTTGCACAGTGACCCTTGTTTCTCTCACTTTAATTTAATATAGAGCATGAAAACAATGAAACTTTGATCCATGGCTTTAAAATCTGAGGACAGTGTGGCTGTCGGTGTGGAAAACTTGTTGATTGTATCAAAACATGTGCACCATGAAAGAACTCTCTGGTTTAGAAGATTTGATACATCTCCAGATAGAAGCCTTGGATGTGATCGAGTGCTATTTCCAAAGTTTAATCAAGCTGGTCTCTTCTTGCATGTTCAATAATTCATCATTACTGTGTCCAAATAATCCAGGTGTCACATGTCATGCTCTGGTCAGCTTTCATATCTGTAAGCTGTCATATCCAGCATTTTGAAGCCAACCGGAATTAATTAAATAACCTTTAGGCCAGAAGACATTTTAGAAACTTTATTTATGCTTATCTCATTAGTCGAGCTATCAAAAATTGTGAAATGTTTGCTTGAGAATAGATCACAGTTAACTTAAATTTAGCAGTTATAGCCAAATTTTTGAATTATTGCATACTTCTTTTACATACAAAACACATTTTAAGCATAGAATTATTAGCTATAACAAATTAAAAAAAACTGTTGTTCTGATGGCTTAATGTAAGCTTGACAAATAATCTTTTGCTGGACTGTTGAGGCATGCTACAATGTGACTCTACTCACCTGTTTACCCATGCTACAATGTGACTCTACTCACCTGTTGACCCATGCTACAATGTGACTCTACTCACCTGTTGACCCATGCTACAATGTGACTCTACTCACCTGTTGACCCATGTGACTCTACTCACCTGTTGACCCATGCTACAATGTGACTCTACTCACCTGTTGACCCATGCTACAATGTGACTCACCTGTTGACCCATGCTACAATGTGACTCTACTTACCTGTCGACCCATGCTACAATGTGACTCTACTCACCTGTTGACCCATGCTACAATGTGACTCTACTCACCTGTTGACCCATGCTACAATGTGACTCTACTCACCTGTTGACCCATGCTACAATGTGACTCTACTCACCTGTTGACCCATGTGTCTCTACTCACCTGTTGACCCATGCTACAATGTGACTCTACTCACCTGTTGACCCATGTGTCTCTACTCACCTGTTGACCCATGTGTCTCTACTCACCTGTTGACCCATGTGTCTCTACTCACCTGTTGACCCATGTGACTCTACTCACCTGTTGACCCATGCTACAATGTGACTCTACTCACCTGTTGACCCATGCTACAATGTGACTCTACTTACCTGTTGACCCATGCTACAATGTGACTCTACTCACCTGTTGACCCATGCTACAATGTGACTCTACTCACCTGTTGACCCATGTGACTCTACTCACCTGTTGACCCATGCTACAATGTGACTCTACTCACCTGTTGACCCATGCTACAATGTGACTCACCTGTTGACCCATGCTACAATGTGACTCTACTTACCTGTCGACCCATGCTACAATGTGACTCTACTCACCTGTTGACCCATGTGACTCTACTCACCTGTTGACCCATGTGACTCTACTCACCTGTTGACCCATGGTACAATGTGACTACTCACCTGTTGACCCATGCTACAATGTTACACTACTCACCCATTGACCCATGCTACAATGTGACTCTAACACAGGACAAGATGGGCACGTCTTTCAATCAACTGACAAGTCTTCTAGCCCAGCTCAGCCAAGCGGATATCGTGAGTACAACTTTCTCACACATTCACATTTATCCCTCATCCCTCCAGTCATTACAACACTCACATTTATCCCTCATCCCTCCAGTCACAACAACATTCACATTTATCCCTCATCCCTCCATTCACTACAACACTCACATTTATCCCTCATCCCTCCAGTCACGAGAACATTCACATTTATCCCTCATCCCTCCAGTCACAACAACATTCACATTTATCCCTCATCCCTCCAGTCACAACAACATTCACATTTATCCCTCATCCCTCCATTCACTACAACACTCACATTTATCCCTCATCCCTCCAGTCACGAGAACATTCACATTTATCCCTCATCCCTCCAGTCACGAGAACATTCACATTTATCCCTCATCCCTCCAGTCACAACAACATTCACATTTATCCCTCATCCCTCCAGTCACAACAACATTCACATTTGTCCCTCATCCCTCCAGTCACGAGAACATTCAGATGTTCCCATTTTTTAAAAACAAATTTATTCCATCGTAAAATGTTTGAAATTAAACCCTCCCCCCCCCCCAATTGAAAAGTGCACCCCAATCAATCGATCGTTTATTTTATTTTTTACTTTTAAAATGAAGCCTCTAAAAAAATGAAAGTGATTTATTAAAATGATTTTTGAGAGAAACCTAAAATTGGTCAAGCAAGTTGTATGTGTGAGAGAACTAAAACGAGCCATCGAAAGGCCAAGAAAAGCCGCTTAAGATAATTTCCCCGCTGATGGAAATGACTGAAAATCTTTCGTCATTGCCAGAACTTTTCGTCCCGTTTTTCTCGGCTTGGTTTAAACCCCGTGTGTTTACTTCAAGCGAGTTCTCCGTTAGGAAGTCTAGGATTATTTCTTACAATCCTGACGCCTGTGTTTTTTGAACAAGAGAAAATTATGGCGACATTAATAAAGCAGGTAAAGTAACGGTTTTTACTTTGACATTGTGATAGAATAATTTTTATTTAATGTAGTCGTGTAACAAGGTTTAGTATGAGGTATGCGACATTGTGATATGGAAGTTTTGATGTGAAATTGTGATAGAATAATTTTTATTTAATGTAGTCGTGTAACAAGGTTTAGTATGAGGTATGCGACATTGTGATATGGAAGTTTTGATGTGACGATGTACGGCGAGTTTTGTATGGGTTATGTGACATTGAGATGGAACAGTGACAGTTTTGTTGTGACAAAATATTGAATATGACGATGTTGAATGTCCTGACTTGTTGTCCAGCTATCGACAGTGTGACAAAATATTGAATGTGACGATGTTGAATGTCCTGACTTGTTGTCCAGCTATCGACAGTGTGACAAAATATTGAATGTGACGATGTTGAATGTCCTGACTAGTTGTCCAGCTATCGACAGTTTGACAAAATATTGAATGTGACGATGTTGAATGTCCTGACTAGTTGTCTAGCTATTGACAGATTGACAAAATATTGAATGTGACGATGTTGAATGTCCTGACTAGTTGTCCAGCTATCGACAGTTTGACAAAATATTGAATGTGACGATGTTGAATGTCGACTAGTTGTCCAGCTATTGACAGATTGACAAAATATTGAATGTGACGATGTTGAATGTCCTGACTAGTTGTCCAGCTATCGACAGTTTTGGTGTGACAAAATATTGAATGTGACGATGTTGAATGTCCTGACTAGTTGTCCAGCTATTGACAGTTTTGGTGTGACAAAATATTGAATGTGACGATGTTGAATGTCCTGACTAGTTGTCCAGCTATCGAAAGCTGAGTGAAGTCAAAGGTTGTGTAGTTAACTGTGTATCTCGTATGGCCGTCTCTCAGGCTACAGGAAGATAAAACCTTGTCACTTTGTTCTGCTCCAGACAGGTGTGAACAAGCTTGCATGATGTGTTACATACAGGTGGGAGATTTCTCAGGTAAGGCTCATCCTGTTTTCACCCCCTCGGTTTTACTGTTAGAATAGCATACTATGGGTACAGCACTTGTGTTTTTAAACAACTTTTTTTTATCAGCGTTTAACTAGTCATTGAACACTTTATTTTTCTCACATTACCAATGATAAATTTTGTTCATGCTAACGTTGCCGTACATTTGTCAGTAGTCATGGCATTTGGGATTTAGGTGGTACTTTGTGTGTGTGTGTGTGTGTGTGTGGGGGGGGGTGTTGTTGTGTGGGTAGGTCAGTTGTAGGGAAAGTGATTCACAGAAAAATTTCAAAGTCACAGGAAACAGTCAAAAATGTATTTTTCCATCCAACTTGTTACAACTTTTATGTGTATGTATTCAGAAAGTGCAAAGCAACATACGATAAATTTAATGCAATGTAAACATTTTAGATATATTTGCGTAGGTTGTATGCCTACGGTAATATTTATAACATACGTAAAAATATTTAGTCTGAAATATTAAGTTTTAATTCTTTTATAGTTTTGACATTTAGCTTTTGTTATGTGGGTCGGACATAACGTTTGTTATGTGGGTCGGACATAACGTTTGTTGTGTGGGTCGGACATAACGTTTGTGGGTCGGACATAACGTTTGTGGGTCGGACATAACGTTTGTGGGTCGGACATAACGTTTGTTGTGTGGGTCGGACATAACGTTTGTGGGTCGGACATAACGTTTGTGGGTCGGACATAACGTTTGTAGGTCGGACATAACGTTTGTAGGTCGGACATAACGTTTGATGTGTGGGTCGGACATAACGTTTGTGGGTCGGACATAACGTTTGTGGGTCGGACATAACGTTTGTAGGTCGGACATAACGTTTGTAGGTCGGACATAACGTTTGTGGGTCGGACATAACGTTTGTTGTGTGGGTCGTACATAACTTTGTTGTGTGGGTCGGACATAACGTTTGTGGGTCGGACATAAAGTTTGTGGGTCGGACATAACGTTTGTTGTGTGGGTAGGACATAACTTTGTTGTGTGGGTCGGACATAACGTGTATTGTGTGGGTTCAGTACGTAACCTGTTTGGAAATAGCGAGGCCTATGAATGATGTGGGTGAGGTGATGCCGTGAATATGCCCACACTAACCGGGGACAGCTGAAGATTGTCTTTGAAAGAATTTACGTCTCGTTTAGCGCAAAGTGATGGCCATTTTCTTCCCTGTCGAACTTCCCTTGGACTTTGATCATGGCCTCCCCGCGTTCATTTTCTTATTGACGGAGCCTGTGCAGCGTTAGAGAACCGGATATGCTAATGTTGCCTAGCAACCGGAGATAGCCATGTGATCTTTCAGATTTTCCTTCCTGGTCAAGTTTATTACTGTCAGCCTAAATGGCTGGCTGGTGGCCTGGAGGTGGTAAAGTTGGTAGAGGGGCCAGTAGCCTTCAGGGGGTGATCAAAGGCTGACGTCGGCTCTGTATTGGCTAGTCTTTGATCGCGAGGTGCCGCCAAATACTCATATATTACACGCACACCAAGGAGCGGACATGTAGGGTATCAGCAGCACCTTGATGGCAAGAAAACATATAGTGGCCCTCTCCTGTTTTGACAATCTTTCTCGTTTGGTGATTCAGGGCTCACACAATTTAAGTTGACTTGAAAGTGTAATCTGTTTTATTTTTCTTTACAGTCTCTACTCCCACATTAGTTCGTGTGTATATGTATATGTATATATATATATATATATATATATATATATATATATATATATATATATATATATATATATATATATATATATATATATACATATATATATATATATATATATATATATATATATATATATATATATATATATATATATATATATATATATATATATATATATATATATATATATATATATATATATATATATATATATATCAGGACACTAACACCTGTTAATTATTCCCCCCATCCCCCGAGATTACCCTCTGTCCGAAACATTAGCAGGACATTACCCCCTGTCGACTGCTAATTGACCCTAAGGGATAGCGTAGTGATAGTTTAAGTTATAGAAAGGCAAGCCATTATGATTTAACCTAGACTTGAGCACAAGACTCATGTGGTTATGTTTGATTGTGTCCACCACATGTGGTTATGTTTGATTGTGTCCACCACATGTGGTTGTTTGATTGTGTCCACCACCACATGTGGTTATGTTTGATTGTGTCCACCACCACATGTGGTTATGTTTGATTGTGTCCACCACATGTGGTTTGATTGTGTCCACCACATGTGGTTTGATTGTGTCCACCACCACATGTGGTTGTTTTATTGTGTCCACCACCACATGTGGTTTGATTGTGTCCACCACCACATGTGGTTATGTCTGATTGTGTCCACCACCACATGTGGTTTGATTGTGTCCACCACCACATGTGGTTATGTTTGATTGTGTCCACCACCACATGTGGTTATGTTTGATTGTGTCCACCACCACATGTGGTTGTGTTTGATTGTGTCCACCACATGTGGTTATGTTTGATTGTGTCCACCACATGTGGTTATGTTTGATTGTGTCCACCACATGTGGTTATGTTTGATTGTGTCCACCACCACATGTGGTTTGATTGTGTCCACCACATGTGGTTATGTTTGATTGTGTCCACCACCACATGTGGTTTGATTGTGTCCACCACATGTGGTTATGTTTGATTGTGTCCACCACCACATGTGGTTATGTTTGATTGTGTCCACCACCACATGTGGTTATGTTTGTGTCCACCACATGTGGTTATGTTTGATTGTGTCCACCACCACATGTGGTTTGATTGTGTCCACCACATGTGGTTATGTTTGATTGTGTCCACCACCACATGTGGTTTGATTGTGTCCACCACATGTGGTTATGTTTGATTGTGTCCACCACCACATGTGGTTTCATTGTGTCTACCACCACATGTGGTTATGTTTTATTGTGTCCACCACCACATGTGGTTTGATTGTGTCCACCACCACATGTGGTTATGTTTGATTGTGTCCACCACCACATGTGGTTTGATTGTGTCCACCACCACATGTGGTTATGTTTGATTGTGTCCACCACCACATGTGGTTTGATTGTGT